AATTCATCGACGAGGATACTCGAAAGAGTGAAAGGGAGTTCGCAGTACTCTTGGTAGAAGGTCGGAGCACTGCAAGCATTGGTGTTCATTGCCCGACGTTTGCGGCCGGCACCGGAGCTTGCGGTAAGATCATTTTCCTTTCGGCGCTTCCGACTTCCGGAGGCGTCTTTTCCCATGTTCGTTGCTCAAAGTATATTGTATTTTTCTATCTTTGTATGCACGCAATGGAAATCAGGGTCGACAGTCGAGAAGATGGTGTCGAAGATGTATTTATTAGCTTAATGCTTCTCTCCCAGGGCAACAATGTTCTATTACGATACTCGTACTCACAGTACATTRAGGTACATGCGAAGTTCAAAACAGCAATTTGTCCAGTACACAAGTTTTTTAAGCAGCATCTTTTTTCCATGCTCGGTGCACGTCCACGGTCCTCCATCACATCTGTTTTTTACTGAATTTCGACAACCGTTACCCTTACGCAACTTTTTTAATTACTGTACGGTAAGGTACTTACCCGTGCGTGCGCATGCGCAGGGGTCATAAATTTAGACCCCTGCCTGTACGTACCGTATGGTGCCACATGCATTGCACACCCTACAATACAGTATTGGTGTAATGTACGTACTTACTGTTACGTAAATACGTAATGTACTCTTATGACAGAATGATGTATCGTACATCGTACCAGGGGTCATAATTTAGAGGGGTGCGCAACGCATCGAAAACTCATATTCCATCGGTGGCAGGAATAAGAAAATTTTWACCCCAGGGATTTTTTTCAATTTCATTTTTACTGCATAATACTAGTAAATCTATCCAACCTTTAAGCAGTAACAACATTATCAAAAATACTACCATTAGAATTTTTGAGWACTTTGTATAACTCAGTTTTTCATGAGGATTCTGAATATGCCAATATTTTCAGTGTCAAATGGAATGATAGTGTACCTTTCCACTGTTGAATATTGACTAGATTATTAGTAGAAATTACTACTGGGGAATTAGTGGGAGAAACGGATGAAGGACAGACAGCTCGAATTTTTGCTAAGGACTAGACTGGTGGGACTGACTGGACAAAGGACAGACTATTTCTACTGCAAATACAGTACTAGTCTGTTACTACCACCAGCCCTGTGTCAGCACCTTAAAGTTTGAACTGGACGAGAGAGCAATAACAGTGAAAATATACTTACTACTTGACTCTCAACTATATGAGAGATGTGCATGTGGCAAGCCAAAGGGAAAGAAGAGAGAGGTCGATGCAGTCTGTGCAATAGGACTGGTCCTTTACTGGTACAGAACAAGAGGATCTGTTGCAAGGTCAATGGCAATGGCCTTTGGCTTAACATCCAAAGTGATGTACTATAAGTGGCTCAAGTTTTCAAGAAGAGTGATGCTTGTTGCTCTTCACAAGCATCCAGAGGCCATGGTCAGGATCCCAACTCAGCAAGAAGTGGATACTTATGTTAAGGCAATTGGGGACAAGTGTCCAAGGCTTGGAGAACAACGCGTCTGGGGTGCTGCTGATGGGCTCAAGCAAGTGATTGAAGCCTCAGGAGACTGGTACAAACAAAGACCATTCTACAATGCATGGAAGGAGAACACATATGTAAACAGTGTATTTGGCTTTGCCCCTGAYGGAAAGATCYGTATAGCAGTTTACAACTGCCCTGGGGCATGGCACRACAGCKCCATTGCCRAGCATGGTGTGTATCAAAGGATTGTGGAGGTCTATAAAGAGTRYGGTGGGAAGGTTGTGGTCGATTCAGAGTTTGCCCTGAAGGAATACAAGGATAGCCTAATCAAGAGCTCACAGAGGGACCCAGATCAACCAGAGTGGATACTCCTCAACAGGGATGCAACGTCCTTGAGGCAGATGTTGGAATGGGGAATGCGCATGATCCAGGGACAGTTCCCTCGAATCAAAGACAGGATGTGCTTGGAGGAGCAGGGGGAAAGAAAGATCACCATGAACCTTCTTATCAGCTTGTATAACTACMAGTGTAGTTATGTAGGACACAACATGATACTATCAAGTTTCATGAGGACACCACCGGCGACAGACCCCGCGATTCCTCATCAAGAGTTAAGAAACGAGCTTGCAGGAGGATACTTTCATGTAGGAYGTCGGCTTTCTCCAGATGGAAATGGACTGTTTCGAGGGTGAATCCCATGGTGAAGACGTTAGTTCAAAACAAAAGAGTTTAGTGAGTTAAGGAGTTTAGTGAGTTACAAATCCGACTCCTCGATATAAGCAGTTTTCCGAACACAGCTTTCTCAACGCCAATGCGATACTACAAGCAACAAATTCAATTGATCGATACAATACTGATCCAATCACCATGGTTGACAACATTCATTGGTTACTTCCCTTACCGTGTTTGGTTACTTTGCTTACAGTGTTTGCTTCTAAACAACAACAACAACAACAACAACAACAACAACAACAACGATCTTACCATGGTCATCCTCCCCCCTACCATTACCACCAGTACAGTCCTCCACCACCACCTGCTTCTGTTGCATCGACTGTTGCACCATTGACTGTTGCACCATTGACTGTTGCACCATTGACTGTTGCACCATTGACTGTTGCACCATTGACTGTTGCACCATCGACTGTTGCACCATCGACTGCTGCATCCACTGCGGCTGTGGATGCTATCATTTGTCTGTCTCAACAAATGCGGAAGCCGGTCACGAAGCTGGTCACAGACCTATACAAGAAAACCTCAACAAGACAGCTTACAGCAACGCTACGAGCAAACAGCAAGGTCCCCAGCAAGCTCCCCCCTGCAACGCTTCATTATGCTGTTTAGAAGCAAACACTGTAAGCAAAGTAACCAAACACAGTAAGGGAAGTAACCAATGAATRTTGTCAACCATGGTGATTGGATCAGTATCGTATCGATCGATTGAATTCGTTGCTTGGTGTAGTATCGCGTTGGCGTTGAGAAAGCAGTAAAAGTTAATTGTTATACTGTAATGAAGACAAGGTTATCATACGTAACATGTGCATGCCAATCAGAACCGTTTTCATGGGACTTAACATGTGTGATTATAAGTGAAACTGTTCTAATCCCGCATTGGTAGTATACACGAAAACCTTCCCAAGAAAACCTTTACAAGCAAGCAACAGCTTAGTAGGACAGTACGTGATAATACAGTAACAGGCTCAAGCTCATTGTTTTGTATCCACACAGATACAGTTTAGTGTAGTTAATTTAGTCTAATGTAAAGTAASSATTTAAACCTCCTCACCATGGGATTGTTGCTGTTCATGCTGTTGGCGTTGTCTTTTGCGCGGAGGCTGGGGCGTTGACCCATCGGCTGTGGATGCAACAGCAGCAGTGGATGCAGCAGTCGATGGTGCAACAGTCAATGGTGCAACAGTCGATGCAACAGTCGATGCAACAGAAGCAGGTGGTGGTGGAGGACTGTACTGGTGGTAATGGTAGGGGGGAGGATGACCATGGTAAGATCGTTGTTGTTGTTGTTGTTGCCACATATTCATCATGCTAACAGCAGCACCAAGAAACTTCTCTGCTACATCCTTTAAACCACTCCACATCTCAATACTGCATTTGTCTCTTTTGTCCTGCTTAATAATGAATTCAATGAATATGGCAGCGTCAGRAACAGCAGATTTCTTCTGTTGCTGATAAGATCTCTTCTTTGCTGGGGTAGATTCAACAAGTGAAGGGGTCAAATTGCTGGAGGAACAAGCTACAGCAGGGAACTCCTCCTGCTGTTCTTCACTGTCGACACTAGTAGATGCGTCTCCAGCAAGAACAATGGAAGCTTCTCCTGGAGGCGTCTCAGTTTCTCCTGGAGGAGGCTCTGAACTTGCCACAACCTCACTCTTAGCAAAGCCTTGCTCCAGATCAAAGACCTCCTCTCCAGTTCCAAGATTTGCCTTTTCACCAATCAGCTTGTGGGTGAGTCGGGCCAGCTTCACGTACTCCGGAATATTGGGATTTCCAGTGGAGCTTTTGATCCTCCTCACAGCTGCATACTTAGTCTTGATGGAGGTCGTGGTCCTGCCAAAAGGCCTACTCTCAGCATGTTTTGCTGTAATATAGTCCCATCCCTCACCACATACTGGGATTACATCCACTATCAACCTCATGAGACTGGTGACCTCTTCACGGGAGTAGTTTATAGTGCCACTCCTGCGACCAAGCACAGCGTTGTTCTTGTTGGCAGCAACTGGTGGATTYGGCATACTAACAAATATAGTCTTGGGGATTGGACAATAGTGCTGAGGAGCTGCTCCTTGTTGTTGCTCCTCTTTGAGGTCGATGGTGTCGGCCTCCTCTTGCTYGTCAGCCTCCTCTTGCTCTCTTTGCTGCTGCAACAAAGAAAGGAAATAGAACGCACTGACTAACAGCACAGATCGAGACATAGTTTATGTCTYGGGCGCCATTCTTATTACTGTACTAGAGGCGCCTTCTTGTTGTTGTATGTCATTTTGATACTTGTTTAGAAAAGAGGATCATGTTTGGCCGGGTGTTAATTTTGGYGGGCCTTTCTGTTGAATCTTACAACGGACTCCAAATTTTGATTCATGGGTTCCGTAATAGATTTAGCACATTTAGAATGGGGTCAGTTGACCCATTCTAAAAATGCTAAATCTATGACAAATCGTCATAGATTTTCGGTCTGTCTGTCTACTATCAAATTTAGCATTTCTATAATATYGGGAATCACTCATTATGTTTTTACGSTACCGTTGAACCCAGATGAAACTTTAGACTGTAGACAGTAGACACTAGACATACTATTTGTAACATACAGTATTACTGTATCTATGTATTGTAAATCAAGTTCATACAGTACTCGTACGTACGTACGGTATGCTCGAATAGAATCTCTGTCAAATCCACGATGCACGTTTGAAAATTGAAAGAGAGGGCATCACTAAAACAAAATAAATGATGTCATCTACCCTCGTGATCTATGAATCTGACGTTGCAAGTCTTATCATTAAATGATGTGCTCCAAACTTCCAACGGTACTACTACCGAGTTGTACTTCTTCCATCAGCATCGATCATCCAACGATCATCTCACTGCCAAGGAATGGAAAGAAGGAGAAAGAAGAAAAGTCAACCTCGCACGATAGCTCAATTTTCTCAGAAATTGTTTCTTGGATACCTCGCATTTACGCGGTACGAGTACCGTACAACTCCTGCCAACCCATTTTGCCATAAACCAAAAATCGACCCTTTGACCAAAAACCGAGACACAATGAAGTCCACTGCTCGCACCACCCAGCTCCTGCTCTCCTTTTTATGCGTCATGAACGCAGCAAACGCGTTTGTCACACGCGGACCAAGCCAGCTTGTCGGTCAGCGCCAACTGCAGCCAGAATATCGAGTCCTGTTTCAAGAGCCACCAACTCTCGAGAAAGAGGCAGAGAAATCTGAAGCTGTTGATGAAGTCAAAGAACCAGAAGAAGAGATGAGTGAAACGCAAAAACTCATGCAGAAAGTGAAAGACTCCGGAACCGCCGGTTTCATTTCGTACGCTGCTTGGGAGATGGGTTTCTGGGCTCTCTCGGTACGTCCTTGTTCTGTCGGTGTCTTATGTGTATTGTGTCCATCAATTGGTGATACGAGGTGATTGCTTTCGCATTTTTTGCGCCACGGCCGAGACAACTAACGACAACGAACAAATTAATTATTGATATTTTGTCTAACTTTTCTTCATTTGCGTGCTATTTTTATTTTATTTTCCTCCTTGTCGTGAAAACAGGTTCCTGTTTGTGCCGTGGGCTACTACCAAGTCACCGGCCACTGGCCTGACTTGGGTGATCCGGATGACCAGAAAAAGCTTGGCGCCGAAGCCTTTGCCTTTGTCAACTTCGCGCGATTTGCTGTCCCACTTCGCATTGGGCTCGCTCTTAGTACGACGCCATGGATTGACGAAAACATAGTAAAGCGCTTCCTGAAGAAGGACGACGAGAATTAGAATTTGGAAAAAATCTCTCATGAATCATTTCATCCCGATTTTTTTCACAGTGAAAAGAGTCGGAAATGCTAGCCACATGGTGGTTGTTTCGATGCATAAAAAACGCATGATACTACTGTATGAATTCAGGATGTCAGTGGGCGAAGTAAATAATACCCCATTGCTGACAAAGATCCAAATTATCGATACAATCACTCTTCCATGAACTTGGTATGGAACGAAGTACTCTCTTTGCTTCCGGCAACCCCAGAGACACCAACCCTGATATGGTCGTTGAATGTTTAAATAAAACGAATACTTTTTTGTTACATATGTTTTTCAACCTTGGCCAATAGCTTTATCAGGGCTTTATGAATACTGCGTATTTTCAAGTATGAAGTAGATCAGTTGSACGAGAGTGATGAAAATTGAACCGATCAGTGGAGCCTGCACCAATAAAGTTTGAAAAATACTGATGTACCATGGTCAAAAACTGCGATTCATGTTGTCTTCAAAACTCAGCAGAAAATCTTGCCCAGAAGGAAAAATGTGATCTATTCAATTTTATGGATTATTCAGAAGTGATTACCGCTTCTGGAATGAAATTTGGCAGCTTCTTCACATCATTTAATATTTATTTTATCCCGTTATCCCCTGTTGCTGATCAACATATTTTGGTATATTATTTCAGCACACTTCCCTACTCTCAACGTATATCTTGTCTTTAAATTTATCGATCATCTCGGCCACAATAGCTTCCCCACGCTGTTCCCATTCCTTCCGGTTTCGTGAAGCATAGTTCAAATACTCATCGCTCGAAACTCCAAAGACTCCACAATCACTTAGTTTCTTTGAAAGTGGAATGATGTAGTGGTCGAAGAAGCCCAGTTCTCCCTGGTACCAAAAGGTACTAGGGTCAACGTTTGCTCTACCCGTTTTGTAGGCCAGGTACATCTCTTCGAATAGACGTTCATTCCATTTTCGATAAACATGCCAGTGTTGCATAGTGTGGCATACATCACTTGCTTGAATCAAATGTTCCAAAACAATGGTGGCTTTCCGATTGATTCGGTCCTGATTGTTTTCATTGTTGTCTTTCAAGTCAGGTGAGAAGGCCTTGTCCCATCGTTGATTACGTAATTGTTTGAGGTCCTTATCCATGATGTCAGTTGCAAGTACCGTATTGACGATCAATTGACGCAAACGATCCAACTCCTTATCAGTTCTACAGACAGCTTTCCGCACCGCACTGAACTGAGGTTCTAGAAATAGCGCCCAAGCAATGTCGACTGAATTTTGCTCAGCAACAGATCTTCCCTTGTATTTTTTCGCCACAGGATCTTCTTCTTCAACTAGCGTCTTGTTTGGGACACCTTGGTGGTCCACATCGTGAATTAGAGCGGCGAGGATGCATGCAAACTGTGTCAATGGATCACTAGTAATACCGTATGTATGATCATGCAAGGTAGAATATACATTGTGTTCACAGGTACTGATCTCGAGATCGGGGGCAACGATGCGAGATAACAACTTTGCTACTGATAACGTCACATGTGAAGCATGTTCGAAGTTGTGAAACGCTGGAGAGAAAAATCATAGTTAGGAATCGCTGAATGATAGAAATGGTGTTAGATTCAATTGTCTTCCATGACTTACGATTTTCGTTGTAACTATTCGAGATTGCGAAAATATAACTCCTCAGTTGCGCCATAACCTSATCGCCGAGTAAGATGGAGTGTGGATCTTCTTGTGAATTGATTACCCTTGGATCGAAAACAGGCAATTCGATGATCTCAACGACCTCATCCAGCATCATGCCATCAGTAGTGGTCTGAATCGATTTGGAACTATCTTCCGAGATAGGCTTTCCCTTTACATTAACAACGATAGCTCCCCTCCGTGCAACGACTTTTCGAATTAAACCCGCAAACAAATCGACATTCCAATCAATGAGTCGCGCTCGTCGGTCACATAAAATTTGTTTTCCACCTACTTTTGCCCTTTGGTCAATTGCTGGTGATCCATAAGATCCGAGGGAGCTATCATCACAGGTTGCGGCGGTCGCCACAGTGCTTCCTCTCTTATTGTGACTCTTTTGGAAGGCCCAATAAGTTGTGAGTTCTCCTTTTCCTTTCGCCTGAACAGTTTCCTTTCGGGGTGTCAACCAGCTAGACTTTCCAGCATCGTTTAGCAACCGAGCCGTGTCTTCTGATATATGAATCTGATTGCGGACACCCGTGCTCTCCATCCGAGCAGCAGTGTTGACTGTGTCGCCGAAGAGTTGGAATCGAGATTTCTGACCTCTCAGAACACCTGCAGTGACAGGTCCAGAGTGTAATCCGAAGCGCATTGACAAATCCGAGGTCTCGGGTCCCAGCGTAACTTCAAGAGATTTTGTCAAAGCGTTCATTTGATTGCGGCAGTCGCGTGCAAATCGAGCCATAATTACAGCATGGTCTCTCTTCGGATTGGGAAGACCAGTAACCGCCATGTAGCAGTCGCCGATGGTTTCAACCTTGAAAACACCACGACGGTCTGCGATTTTGTCAAATGCTCCGTAAATGGTCTCAAGAAGAACAAAAACTTGACTGGGAGATCGTTCCGACGACCAGCTTGTGAAGCCAGAKATGTCGGCAAAGAGAACGGTGCAATTTGAGAAAAGATCAGCAATCGGTGCATCGAATTCCTTCTTCGGCTCGCCAACGCCATTATCTTCGTGCATGAACGTCTTCAAGCGAGTCTTTGCTGGTTGAGATTTCTTGGGAGTGGGGTCATTTTCTTGATAGAGACGATCCCTCACTGATGGTGCAAATAACAAAAGCGATTATGAGGATCAGCGATTTTCGTTCAACGCTCTCATGGGAGTACAATGATTCAATACAGATTCCAAAACTGARGGGAAAAGACATACCAYTTTTAGGAAAGAGGCTCGAAACAATCGCATTGTTCCTTACTGCAGAAGTGTAAACTTTTCTCTGTCGGCTTTCCACAAGACAGTCATAGAACACGAATACCATCGTTGTGAAGATAAAAATGATGACGGCAATTCCAGTAAATGCTACCGGGCTGTTTTTGTTGGTTGAAAAATAAGGCAAGAACCACGTTGATCAGATAGGAACCCAGACGATTCTTCTCGTTGCGCACAAATTTTCACTCGTATCGCATTATACTGCTTCTTCTTATCTTACCTAACCTCATTCATTTCGAAGTTGCGAATCATATCTGTGGAAGGATACAAATGAATTTCGTATTGGCATCCAGCAGAACTCAATGGGAGCCCTGTATAAGTATTGATTCCTTCGATATCGGTGAGCAAGAAAGATTGCTGGAGTTGGTCATACACGGGCTCRTGAAGGTCCCCTATACCTAGATAGAGTGGTTCGGACTCGAACCAAGTGTATGTGAATGTCTGGTTGCAGTTATTCTCCACAACGACGTGCATGCCATCAATTTCGTCGGATAACATGTTCTTCAGTAAGTCCCTCCAGTAAAATGTGACAGCTGTGACTCCTACGAGGGTGCTGTTCGTCAACGATGATGACGTTTTGTTGCTTCCATTGGCATGGATAATAGCTTCGGCATCGTGAAGGATAGGATAGAATATATCCCCAAAAGGTTCTGCGTGATACGAATCATTGTGAGCAAAGAAWCTCTCCATAACTTTGATTTGTTCTTCAACGTTCAAGTTGGGATCTTCGGTCGTCGGAATATTGTTCACATAGCTCATCACAACTTGTTGCGGATGGTGCTGAAATGTCGCCCATGCATTGGCGAGAGCTTTGTATTGGAAACCGTCCCGGTTGTAAGCGGAAGTCTCTGTGACCGGGGATTGTTGCCATCGAGGCTGAATGACATTATCAATATGAGCAAGGCCAAACGRCAAGGCTTATCAGTGTATTTGATTTRTAGTTCTATGTGGTTCGCATACAAGCCAAACAAATGATCTCTCGATGATATTAAAAATTCACAAACATAAAACACCGCTTCATGCACTCGGAGGCTCCTGTACGTACCATGAATCCGGAGGTATTTCCAATAGTCTTCTGAACGAATTCATCGGTAGGTTCCCTTCCATACAAAACGTTCTTTTGGAGWRTGATTCCTTTTTCATCTTCTTGCTTCTTRAGATCTTCCTCTAACCAATTGTCATTGGCAGACGAGTAYTCTTCCCACTCCTCTCTCTGTGAGTCCTCGACGTAAGGATAGGTTGTGACGGCGAACGCATGAGACATCTTTCGGAGTTTCTGGGCTCGAACCGAAAAGTGAGGAGCCGTAACAAAGGGCCATTCCGATGATGATAAAGTGCAGAGCGCAACCATGAACGAATCGATGGCACCCARTGCCACGATAAACCTACTCTCCAATTCCTGGAGGACTTCCAAAGAATCGTCGTGGTAGAGATCATCGAATTTGTTCTCGATATCTTCCGTGAAATAGATCCAAACCGCCAGGCCGACTCCGACCGTACTCCAAAAAAGGATCGTGATCAGAAAAAATCGAAGTTTCGTCAGGTGCTCGGAATCCCTGACCGCCAAGCTCTCATCCTCAATGRTTTGCTGCTGCCGTGTCGTAAAACGACTAATGGACGTCGAGGTACTGACCGCAGATGCCGAGGAGTAAGAAACAATGGATTTGTCCGAGCGATCAGATGTTGAGTTTTCATCCATCTCGATATTGTTCATGTCCATATTGGACCAGGAGGAAGCAGAATCACCAGGCATTGTTTTTGTGTTGTCTGKAAGAGCTAGGATACTTTGTGCGACTGTGTTTGGTTAAAGTTTCAAAATTGAMTGCACATAAATTTATGGGAGCTAACGTTTTTTGGAAAGGTTGGGAAAACAAAGACAAAAAACTCTGATAGAATGGTTGTTATCTTCTTGGGTTTTATTGAAATTTAAAAAGAAATTACTGCACATTCACTGTGGGTTAAGTTTTGATATTTCGSTGGCCTTCGCACATTTCATGCATCGCGTCTTTCTCTAGCAACCGAACCAATCCTGGAGAATTCTCASGAGTTGAGAAGGCAAAAGAACGCATTTTAGACAACGGTAGATGTTACTACGATCGATTGGTCTTTTAAAATGACTACGGTACCCCACCTACCGGTACTGTACATAGGGGATTTATATGATTCCAAATGTCSATGATATTGCTTTGAGCTATTAAAAAAATGGTTTAATTAGTTGCATTAAATACGGTACTAAGAACTTCAACATAACTTGTGCCCAGAAATATAAAAAATTCGATCAGAAAGTGAAAGGACGATTACGACTAGATTAAATTAAACCAGTCTTAATCAATATTTCATGCAATCTTACTTTTTCCATCTTCRCGTACACGTAGTTGTTACATAATTTAACTTATGCCATTCAGCCGAGCGCAGATAAAAAAATAGTCATTCTTGAAGCAGTAATATACGAAATGATGCGAACTCATGATTGATTCAGTACAGTATTACATTTGGTACGTACTGTACACTTCCCTTTCTTTTTTTAAAAATAGCAACGTAGGTTCAAGCTTCAATAAAGGGCTTTTCCGACAGGTTCCAGAGAATTCAAATGAATTCAGAACTTAACAGTACAAGTACTCGTACTTTCCGAAGATATTCTCCCTTTCTTTGATGCGACAAAATACAGTGCGAGGTGAACGAAAATATCAAACAAAAAAATAAAGCAAGCATTCAGTTGGTGACAAAAGATGATGTCATAATTTCAACAGTTTCGAAAGAAAAGTCACCTTCACACAAAAACACGACAGAAACGTTGACACAATTGAAACCGAAACCGAATCAATCGCCTGACGAAACAAACGATATTAGGTCAATCAAAAGACAGATCAATCCACAGCATCGATGGATCGAAAAAGCATGACTACTTTATCGACGAAAACACCATCATCTCACCCTACCCCAAAAGCGACCATAGGCGAAAATGAAAAGACARCCGATGRTCTCCCTACACGTGAATTTTGGAGCTCGAGGTTGGCATTCTATTTTGCAACGGCGGGTGCCGCTATCGGCTTCGGCAATRTTTGGAGATTTCCAGGGCTCTCCGTGGAATATGGTGGGGGTGCCTTCTTCATCCCGTATATGTTGGCTCTTTTTCTCATCGGAATTCCTCTCACTATATTGGAGATCGGCTTCGGGCAATTTTTCCAGACAGGCGACATCGGAGTYTTTGGTGAGTTGAATTCGTTGAGATTCAATATGAAGGGATGAACGAATACAACTGCCATGTTATCCAAACAATGAAAGCGTAGCTTTGCATACATCGGCGATGAAGTTATTTCGCTTCAATTTCATTTTTTATGACCCTTGCTTATTGTTCTTTTGTTTCTTCTATCTTCCTTTGACTTTCAATACGATTTTTCAAAAACAGGCGGATTCCATCCAAGACTTCGGGGAGTRGGGGTATGCAGTATAGCTTGCGCATTCATGGTGAGCTCATACTATGTTGTTTTGATTGGATGGGTGGTCAACGCCTTCGTTTCGTCGTGGGACGAAGAAGCCCCGTGGAACAAACCGGGATTGACAGGGCAAGAAGCCGTGAATTATTTCTATAGTGAAATCATCGGAATGGATACCGTGATCGGTCCCGACCTAGCTCCGACGCGTATTGTTGCGGAAAATGTTGGCTATACAGCCTTTGTGTGGACCSTTGTGTTCATCGTGCTATCATTTGGCTTGCAAACAACCGGGCGAATCACTTATGTTACGATGGGATTGCCATTTGTGCTCCTGTTTGTCTTTCTTGGGAGAGCAGCAACTCTTCCTGGTGCCGAGGATGGTGTCCAAGCGTAAGTCRGAGCACCACTTCGTCGATCATGATGACAGAGTGCAACATCTTCTGTAAAACGAAGCGGATTCCGAATTTGAAASAAATAAAAACTAATTATTCTTGTGTTYTGATCTCAGGTACATCGGAGTGTGGGATGTTTCAGTGCTTGGAACAGATACTGAAGTGTGGTCTGTGGCATGCTCGCAGGTTTTCTTCTCCATCAGCTTAACATTTGGGCTCTTGACATCCTTCGGATCTCACTGCAAACAGGACGAGCCGGTACTCCTAAATTCCTGCGTTATTGTCACATTAAACTCTGCGTACAGTGTAATTTCTGGTTTCGCTGTATTTTGTGCGCTAGGGCACTTGTCTACATTGTCAGGAGTACCTGTTACCGAGCTTCCATTTGGAGGGTTTGGTCTGGTCTTCGGGACGTGGCCTGTGGTCTTGGGAACCCTACCCGGGGGAATCCACTGGGTGCGGCTTTTGTTCTTCAATTTATTCCTTCTCGGAATCGACTCTGCATTTGCTTTCGTCGAATGTAAGTCTTTCAACAMAAAATACCAGGGGTCGCAAGGATCAAAATGCGTAAGGAYACGTTTTTCAATCATCCAGATCACTAATTTTCCTTTTCAACATCACCTTCATTTTTCATAGCCTTGGTCACTGTGCTTMAAGACACGGAATTCTTTAAAGATACCCCGAGAAAGACGTAAGTTAATGATCGACTGTGTACCTCAAATGCTGACCGCATGGCCGCATGGTTTTGCTTTACAAGAGCTAGGAAGCACTGATGTGACATGCCAGATTGCCTCACATTTCCCCTTGTATTTTCAGGTTGCTTGCACTATGTATATTGCCGAACTTTTTACTGAGTCTTCTCTACTGTACAGACTCGGGGTTTTACTTCTTAGATGTGATTGACTTTTACATTAATTTTGTCATGCTGCTGGTTGGATTCTTAGAAGCCTTTGGTGCCGCTTGGGCTTGCGGCATCCTTGACCTKTATAAAAGTATAGGGGTAAAAGCAACAATTTCATACATGGTGGCGAATTTCTTCCCGATCTTAATCGCGTGTGGGTTCTGGTTCAGTGATTACGAAGCATGGGTTGGATTTGTGGTAATGCTCGGGGGTTTCKTCATCGGATTTTTGGKGACGCACTGGTATCTCATGGARCGAATGGMACAACAACCCGACGAATGGACTGTGCGCTCGATTTGGTTTGAGTGTGCATATGGAAACATAAGTCGCCTCCGAGAGCAAATTCAACCAGTCATAGGCCACATCCCATTTGTCTGGGTAATCCTGATGAAGAATTTCGTTCCACAAGTATTGGTTGTGCTGTTCATTAATCTTTGTGCCTCGTCAAATGGTGCAGGATCCTATGGTGGGTACGCAATCCGGCCATACCAACTACTAGGACTTTTGTGCTTCATCTTTGCAATTTTCCTATTCCTTGTTGGTCTTCTGGTTCCAGAAGTGTACGAACCTTTGGCACTGCCTCAAACAAAAATTGTTTTGTCCGGAGTAACTCCTACCCTYCTGTTGGACCAATCCAAACGCGGTGAATCTTTGGGGAATAGATCACTGACCTCTACCAGTAGTAGAGACAAAATGGGGGATCAAAAAATTTGATTGGAATTGAAATTTATAATTTTGATAGACATAATGAAATGCTAGATGTAACAATAAATTTGATTCTGGGTTTTCGTCATGCCAACAGCAGAACTAGCAATCAAATGACAGTCCCGAAACAATGAAAAATATCGATCGTGATATTATATGGTCGGCCTTCTTGAAGTAAAAATACGAGCGGGRTGCTCTAAATTCAATATTACAACCGCATGCTTTAGACTTAGACAGCAAGGAACCATWAGTACCAGTACCAAAAAGAATGYACAAGGGTGAARAACTAGAAGCGGAYTCCTTTTCGTTTCGACGACGAATTAAAACTGTGCCATGCTAGTATCTCTAGCATTTCCACTATTGCGAGCTTCCATCGCYGCCATTCGCCCGCCCATTCGATCATCCTGGCGATTGCTTGCTCCGGCAGCCTTTGCAATTCGAACGACATCCACAGCACTAGGATCTAATACATGTTTATAGATCTGAGAACTTAGCTTTTCCCATCTTCCAAACCACTCGTATAGAACCTTGACGAGGGCTTTCCAGGCGACGGGCAGTAATCCCCCTTCTTCCGAGAGATGCTTTTCCATCCTTGAATATATAATTGCGATCTTTTCCTTCATGGTCTCTCTATTCGACTCCTTCGTTAAGGTTCTGATGAAAGTAGCTTTTGGGACATGCATGGCGACATCTCTGTCGCCAACCTCCCTTCTAATCTTTGATATGTTCGAGAAAAGAGCATGGAGACTCTTAAATTCTCGCTTGATCATCCACCCAAGGTACGCATCCGTACTTGATTTGCAAACCGCGTTGGCTTTGGTAATTTGTTTCTGAAATAGAGCAGCAATTTCACCTCCCCGGTTTTTTATTGATTGGGTGAAGAAATAACTATTTTCCATTTGCATGACACTGGCCGCGTACTGCTGATCGGTTGTTTCCTGTTCTGCGCATATCCGGAGACTTTCCAATAGAGCAGTTGCAATTTTTTGCAGATAGTAGCTCACAACCTTGATACTCGACAAATCCGGCGTAAAATTATCGCTTCTGCCCTCGCGGCAGCAAATGAGAATATGGTCGATGTAGCAAGGGAATCTTGCAAAAGCGGGAAAGATTCCGGCTCTCTTTCCGTTCGCTGGGACTCCCGGATTGCCACGAATCCATTCGATTTGCCGTTCCACCCAGGCCACCCATTGTTTATCAACTTTTTTACGCAGGTCTAGGATCGTGGCTCGAACGTAGGCCAGAGACAGCGAGTGGTCTCCGCCTTTCTTCTCGCGATCGATATAATTTTCCATAGCTTCGTTCAGATGGATAGACGAAACAAGCGATAGCATGGGGTCTGTTCGTTCCAACAGAGTGGGGTCCTTRTCGCTGTCTTCGACAATTCCACAAGTTCGCTGAATATAATATCGGAAGTATTGTGTCGAGTGGTCCACGCTTTTTTTCGCCGCTTCAAAGTTGCGTTTCTTTTCCCGGCCATCTTTGGCTTTGCTTGAGAGTCCAAAAAGAGCCGCTGTGAAATAGGCTTCTCTCGCCACAACAGGAAGCAATTCGCTGAGGGCGTACCGAATRTCTGGCGCGTTAACCGTCATCTCATTGCTTCCAGATTCGTATGGAGAGTAATTCTTCAGATCTTTCGACACATTGTTCAAATATGCGGCATTTCTTCCAGGCAACGCCTGAAAGTAACCTTTCATTCGTTTCTTCATTAGGATGCCCTCTGCTACCATCTCGGAATAAGCGTCTCGGATGGCGGGGAGGAGTTTGGGACTGAGYAAAGCCAGGACTTCGATCAGTTTGATGTACCCGAGGAGAGAGCTCTGAAATTTGCGCTGGGTATCACGAATCTTCTTCGCAATGATCGAATGGGTGTCTTGCTTGGAAACCTTCCCGTGGTCACTCGAAGCTACTACTTCCGTCTTGAACTGCTCCATGATGGTCACAATAATCTGAGCCAGAGAAGTGCAAAAGAATTCGGAAGCCTGGGCAAGGGCTTCGACTCGTTCGCTTACCGCGATAAGGTGGAGTCCTCCGGCTTGTTCGGCGTGTTCGGTTGCCTCTTGAAGCGCCTTGCCGGCATCRTAGACTCTGTCCACACCCTCTTCGCTCTCTTCCACCTGGATGTTGCCAGCTTCGTCGTACACCAGAGCTCCKGCGGGATTTCCAAGGATAAGTTCGAGATCTTCGTCGATAACGAGTCCCTTCAATAAGCGACGCATTTCGGATCCAAGCAGATCATATGATTTCCATTGCTGTTCAAGTTGCCGGTTCTCTTCTTCGATGTCACGGCAATCATCGGTGAGTGGCTTGATRGCCAAGACCCTGTCTTCGAGCCAATTCTCCATTTCAAGCAGCTCTCTGTCTAGAGATTCCAGGGTCGTGAAGAGGTGGGCCAGGGATAACGCATCTACTGTATCTCGATTCGCACTCTGCGCGAACAGCCCCGCTTGGCCGGTCACCGAGAAATGCTTCTCGTCTTCCCAGGCAATCAGTCTCCTGCATGTTTCCGCCTCCAAGTCGCGCATTCTCCTCTGCAAAACCATGGACAGTCTCTCTGCAGCATTGGCCGCTGCACCTTCGTCACTGCTGAGAGACAAAGTCCATTCGGTCGAGTTCAGAATTTCCTCGGCCTCCGCTCGCTCGTCGGCRGAGTGAAAGATGGCAACGCGGGTCGCAAAGTTTCCCATCATGAGATCGTAGGTCATTCCGTCTCGTACGTCTCCGCTTTTTTCTTCTCCRTCTTCGCGATCTTCTTTCACCGGCCCGTCGTGGCTTTCCGTCGCCAGGACCCGCTGGCGGTCCAASAGGGCACAGAGAGCTGCATCGTTCTTCAGAAAGTTGTTGACCGTGGCAACGTACTGCAACTCAGCTCTGTCTAGGTTTCGGATGTTGAGAGGGGGCAGGAGTTCTCTGTTGWTTGCGTTGGCGAGAGAACTTCTCTCGACAACCGAAACACAGAGCATTGCGTGAATCTGCAGCAGGGACCAAATGAAGCGTTCTTTCATCAGGCCGGCTTCTACCACCTTGGCCTCGTCKTCCTCACTGAAATCGAATCGAATCGTGTCTCCGTTCTGAAAGGCAAGCTGAACCACGGTGGCTGTCACGTCTTGCACGGTAGTCAGCTGATCCAATCCGATAAGCTTCCGAATGTCGGGATTGGCACCGTCGTTGTTGAGTGTGAGGCATACCAGGGTGGGAAACGAAGAAATTTCTGCAACCCCTTGTTCGGTCGCTCCTCCATCCGCGGCAGCCGGTCGTTGCGGGTCGGCATCGGGGTTTTGGGCTTCTTCGTCCGGTCCCTCCGGCCCCTGGCGCTCGCCATCGACGGGGTTGCCTTCTTCTCCGCCCTCGTAAATTACGCCGAGGTCTTCGTCGTCTCCGGACGCGAACATCTTGTCGTACCCTGCTTCCGCAGCGCCTTGGCCACCAGTGTCGTCTTCGTGGCTCATTTGGTTCGACGGAAGCAAAGGAAGGTTGGTTGACCTCGCTACAACCACGTAATGGATCTTGTTACGCCCCTTGCTCCCCTTTCCAAAGAGACCCAGTGATCGTTTGTGTTTCGCGTAGGTTGCTGGATTTTCCAGGCACGAAACCGAGATGTGATCGTCCCCCGTCAATTCAAAGGACTTGCATTTGTCACACAAAAGAGATTCCTGGACCATGCTCTCGGGGTACTCGTTGGYGAGGGTTAYKAGCGTTCCGCCAATGGATCGCTGGTCTACCCGAAGGGAAGGGAGCACGACATTGGCAACAAACCTCGAGACTTCTTCGGGGTTTCGCGGATCTTCGAGTTTTTGAATCTTTTGCGCCCCRTCGTCCATTCCGGAAAAGTTGTTGGGGTTAAAGTCCTCTTCCTCGTTGTTGGACTTTCTCAGGATCCGATTGAGGCGGTGGGTCCCCTTGGATGTAAGGATGTGATTGGCTTTGGTCATTGAAACCTCGTCGTTGTATCCGTTGTACATGTCCTCTTCCTCGCCGTTGTAGTAGTCCTCCTCCTCTTCGTCTCCGTCAAGGTAGTCATCGTCTTCCGTGTTTTTTCCCTTGTTCCTCCTGCTGCCAACGAAAGCGGTAAATCTCTCCGCCGTGTTCAATCCCTTTCCCGCATATTTTTTGGGAGTCGCCTTCTTGTTCGTCTTCATCATTTTTCCCGCCCCTTTGAAACCCTTCTTGGTGACCGCCTTGAAACCCTTGATGGTCACCCCCTTTGCAATATCCTGGATGTTATCCATCTTGAAGGATTTGACTAAAGCGAAACGCTTTGACTACGAGACTACGATGCAGTTGTGGTTATTTCACTCTGTTGTCGTTGTGAAGTTCTTCCCGCTGTTCCCTGCAGAACGCGAAGCAAATGAGGTGAAGCAGTTTGTGGGATCTGCCTATGTCACACTCAGAAAGATTGAGTTTGCTAGAGTCKTTCGAACGACTCTGATGTAGCGTACTTGATGGAACAATAGTAATGATGTCTTCCAGCTTTGCCGTACCGTATGCCASGGACTCTCTTGCTTTTCCGCTTCGTTGCTCTCGAGACAATTTTGTTCATGTCCCACCCCGCGTTCAACGTTCGATGTTTCAAAAGGAAGTGTCATTTGAGTAGCTTTTGTACCGTTACGTTGTACCGCTACGGCACAAAGCACGGTGGCATTTTTATTGCGCAGCCGATATGAGATTTCGAGACATCTCTGAAATAGGCCTAATTAAGTCTTTTAAATGATTATTTTCATTCCTGTGAGGCWAAATCCCGAGTAGCTAGTGAATAAACTCACTCCTCTATTGTACACCACGTATTAACACGCAGTAGGGAGCATACTAACATTTGGAGGTTATGAGCAACAAAGAACACCTCAACTCATCAACCATCATCAGACCACATGCAAAAGTGACTGCCATCCATGRCGCTGTCCAAAGGATACTACTASTAGTAGTAGTAGTGTGTGTGACGTAGTAGTATTACTACTACTACAACTAGTACTAGTAATACTAGTAGTACTACGTCACAAAAAGTGATCGCGGGGTTTGGTCGCACCCCCGTGCGTGCAGTTTTTGTGCRACCACTTAACACAGGAAATTTATGATTATCAAGCTTGGTGAAGACCCCCGTTTTGCGATTAATTTTGTGACACATTTCGTTTCACTCCTATCGGCACAAATTTATTCTGCCGGTTTTTGTACCCACAATCCCTTTTGCACTGCTCGATATTCTTATGTTGGGGGGTCATGATACACAACCTCAACATTTGTGATGTCTGTACCCTTTGACAACAAATTTTGGAATTTAATCTCAAGATTTACACACACAAATAGTATTACTCTCAAATAAGAAGAACCTTGGCGGAATCAATGTTTGGAACAAAGATTCTGCTACCATATGCTATCGAATGTACATAAAAGTTGGGCGTCTTAACTACCCCAMGGATCAGAAATATCATGACTAACCATGTTATAATTATGTATGATGAATGAATTCTAAAAGTGTTTTCTTGGAATACAAAACATCTTCCACGGCATCCCCTACCCTTCCTAGGATTAAATTGTTCCCGGCACACTTTATGGGGTCATCGGTAAGGTTTCTGAACCTTTCGGAAACATACATGTTTTCCATCATGGTAACGTCAACCCTTGGTTCCGAGTTTGTTGGTAGTACAACTCTACCTTTCTTCCTTCTACATTCCTTCCTGAACGGTTCTCTCATTTGTTTTTTGAAAAGCTCTCCAGTTCGAGGGTTTCTTCGGAGGAGTTCCTTAATCTCAGCGCACAACTTGTAAAATAATACCTTTCCCTCCAGAGCCCAACCAATCCTTCTTCCRATTTTTGCATCGCAGAATCTTTTTTGCTCCATCTTAATCAATCCATCTTTCTTTTTCTGAAGGGCGGACTCCCATACATGAAGTTCATTGTAAAGCATCAGGAGAGCAAAGGCTTTGTCCTCAACACTGAAAGTTTCACTCAGAAAATTCTCAGTCCCTCTCTTATTTCCGTTGAAATCATTGTTCCTAGCATTGACGGATGCCAATATTCTTGTAACAAAGTAATAAAACTCCGAATTGTTGGCATCACCATATGCCCTGTACTGTGGATGTATAACCTTCTCCTTCGCATCCCTCATGTCCCAATCGGAAATTTCCAGTGTTCCTGGAAATCCATCTGGCATGTTTCCATTTTCACTGTCATCTGCTATGGAGCAAGGAAGGAATATTCACATGTCAATGGTTAGACCGTCATCAGGGAAGCATGTTCGTCCATGGTCAATGATACATACCTAGCCATTTTCTTCATGCATAACTCTGAGTGTTGTGTCGTATTTTGTTCAGCACCTGTGGCAACAGGGTGTTCTCCAAGTATAGACAAAATTCGTCCTCCCCACTAGATTCTCCACACATGCTAACACCTCCATCTGCAATGGCCTGTGCACGAAATAACGTGTACTGAATTGTTTTAGTAGTAGTAGTAGTATTTAGACTGTATCTAAATTAGGATTGTGAGACTAAAACTAATGAATAAAGTATCACTGAAGAACAACGAGAGATGATAGTCACACTCTGATTAGTAATACCTAAGCAGTATTYCTGTTGGGGATAATGCAACAAGTACGTGGCAACAGTACAGAGGATCACTCGTGGATCCAATCATGAGTCCCTGGGACCCAAAACTATATATATATATACCAGAAGCTATATAGTACTACTAGTATACGAGTATGATTGTACGAGTACAATTGTACAATTACTAGATAGTATACTATATATATATATATATATATATACTACACAAATCGATACACATTTATATAGTGAACGTCACTAGTACTATATAACTCAAAGCATCACTGCATACACATGTATATAAGTTCTCAGAAGCAGAATTCAGAACAGAACTAATCGAATCGATTAGTGATTATTTCCCGGTCCGATGACATTGAGATTYGATTAGACCCAGATTAATTTCAGGTCTGACAAAATTGATGTTTGATCTGACCCAGATTATTTCCCAATACAACAAAAATTCGTCCCAGATTATTTCCTGGTCCAACAAAATTGAGATTCGATTAGACCCAGATTATTTCCCGGTTGACGAAATCGATGTTTGATCTGACCCAGATTATTTCCTGGTCCGATGAAATCAATGTTTGATCTGACCCAGATTACTTCCCAATTCAACTAAAATTTGACCCAGATTAATTCTGGGTCCGACAAAATCGATGTTTGATCTGACCCAGATTATTTTCCGGTCTGACAAAAATCTGACCCAGCAGATTATTTCCCGGTCTGATGAAATCGATGTTTGATTTGACCCAGATTATTTCCCAATTCAACTGAAATCTGACCCAGATTATTTCCGGGTCCAACAAAATTGAGGTTGAATTAGACCCAGATTATTTCTGGGTCCRACGAAATCAATGTTTGCTCCGACCCAGATTATTTTCCGGTCCGACAAAAATCTGATCCAGATTATTTCTGGGTCTGACAGAATTGCTTGACCCAGGTTGCATGCCAATCTGATTTCAAGTCCCTTGCAATTGAGAAAAGATTGAACCTTGATTGCCTATCGAATTGCAATCTTTTTCCATCCTACGCTCCATTTCGAATCAGTCCAAGCCTATTTGCTTCCATCAAATTGCAATCCTTTTCCTCCCATTCCAAATCAGTCCAAGCCCGCTTTGTATTAAATTTCGCTTTCATCGAATTGCAATTTTTTTCTGCCCGACTCTCCATTCTGAATCAGTCCAAGCCCACTTCTTTGTCAATTGAATTTCAATCAAAGCAAACAAATCAAATTGCAATCTTTTTCTGCCCAACGCTCCATTCCGAATCAGTCCAAGCCCACTTTATAGTGAATTTTGGTTCCTTCGAATTGCAATTCTTCTCCACCCAACGCTCCATTCCAAATCAGTCCAAGCCCGCTTCAGATTGAATTTTTGTTCCATCGAATTGCAATCTTTATCCACCCAACACTCCATTCCAAATCAGTCCAAGCCTACTTCATAGTGAATTTCGGTTCCTTCGAATTGCGATCCTTCTCCACCCAACACTCCATTCCGAATCAGTCCAAGCCCGCTTTGTATTGAATTTTGCTTCCATCGAATTGCAATTCTTTTCCGCCCAACGCTCCATTCCAAATCAGTCCAAGCCCACTTCTTTGTCAATTGAATTTCAATCGAAGCACAATCCGATTTTGTTCAGAAATGTACAATAAGCTGAAGGACAAAAACACCGCCCTCAAAGACACTGATTTGAAGGAAGCCTTTCAACTTGCTACCAGCACCTTATTTCCTCACTTCAAAAACATGGTTCAGAGCATGATTGACAACTCCATCCAGGAGGCTATGAAAGTTTGGAAGAATGATTCAAAGCACAAGTCATTGGATGACAATGTAACGGCAGCTGTAGTGGGAATGGATGAAGTACTGGGATCTGATGATGATTCTTTCTTCCTTAGCATTGCTGACTATGATTCTTCCCCCCAACCAACCCAAAGACGCCAACCTAGACAATGTGTGAACCAAGAAAGCCCCGTGGAGGAAGTGTTCACTTTGCCRTGGGAGAACCATGTTCCTGTGTCACCAGACACAGCATCCACACCCTCACCCCCTTGGGATGTCCCACCACCATCAAAGCGTCAGAAGAACAGACCTGATACCGGTATGTCCACATGGACTGTTGCACCGCCTGAGCAAAAGCATCATGTGGTTCTGGCCATATAGTGCCTCTTCTAGTTCAYGAGGTAAAACATAATATTAAGATTTTTTTTTGGTCGTCACAAACAGGAAATAATGGTCTGTGTCTTGTCATTGAAACTGAAAAGATTGTTCACATTGTTGAGTACAATGAGGAGGGTCAAGTTTATATTGCAAAGGACCTAACCACCAATGTCCACTACCAAAAATGTGTCTCCAATTTTGCCACAACCTCCTTTCTTGACACAAAGTTCAAGGGAAAAGGCATGATGGTTTGGTATTATGGAAAAGACCAGTGTCACTCAAACGATTTTTTGTTYGTGGCRAAGCAAAACCTGGCTGGTCCAAAAAATGCACAGTTGTCTGAGTTGATAGAAATGATGGACTTTCCTATGATAAAGGAGATGCTACAGAATCCCTCAGCCATTAATTCATCATCAACCACCCGAAACACTAATAATTCCAATCTAACGTTTGGTTTTACCTCCCAAAATTTTGTTGAAAACGAGGATGGCTTTCAGGTTCCGGATATTAACAAGGGCACYGAGGATGACTTCATTGGAAGTCTCTTTGAATCTGGTGCATCAGTTCTTGKTTGGGATTGCCTTCCAACCCAATTCCAATATTCACCATCAAAAAAAGGAAAGTTTTTCTGCAGAGAATTTCTGGTGGCGCAATGCATGACGGAATCACTCTTAGTACGGGAATGTTGCGAGAGCACAAAGATACTCATAATCCTCCACCCACAGATGATGATGGCACCGCTGCTCATGTAATTGACATATCAACTTATGTAGGTGGTTSTCGGGTAAATGTTGGACTATTCAACAAGAGGTTCATCAATACAACGATTCACCGTCTGAAATATTACACCGACATGTGCAACAAGCTTGTCGATTTTTACCGATCATTGCCGAGGTGCAGATTCACAGTTGAAACTCAGGTGCAGGAGAAGTTTTTGGTTAGGGATTCAATGGCAAGAATTCTTCCATGCCCTTCGGCCAATACCAGTTTGTTGCAGTATTTTTCTATCCCTTGCAACGTGGATCCCTTGTTGGGCTATCATGCACTTTTTCTGGAATCCTTTATCTGGCTGAAGTGTAAGGTCGATCTGAGTTTCCCTTGCAACGTGGATCCCTTGGGCTATCATGCACTTTTTCTGGAATCCTTTATCTGGCTGAAGTGTAAGGTCGATCTGAGTTTCCCTGATATGGTTGGGATGGTGAGTTGTTGCTTTGAGAAAAMCCCAAATACAGCTCTGTTTCTTTCATTGGCAGTTGCAGGGATGTCAAGTCCACCTCCACCCACCACTGGATACCAGTCCAATTACAACAAAATCCCAGTCATACGCTTTATGAAGAATTCGATGAAGTTGCAGAAAGAAAAGTATGATGCACTATGCAAAAGCCTGAAHGAACCACTTGGAATCTACAGGTATTCTTCAAGGAATAATCATTACCAAGGTATGAATGTGAGGGTTCCAGATGTGGCACAGATTCAAGCTGCATCTGCCAACAGATCCGCTGTATGCCTGTATGCGTGGAGTGCATATCCAACTGATCCAAGTCTTCACCAATTGCACATTGTGTACCAATCCATTCTGAAACTGTTCAGGGTGACAAAATTGAATGGTGCTGGTGATCTYGTAATCCGTCATGAGATGGCTTTGATGTCATACCTTGGTTTATTGCCTTCCTGGGTCCAAACATATTCCCCTGTTGATGGACAACTACAAAACCAGTTGAAGGAACTGATTCCTGGGCAGCAGAGCCTGTGGTCTAGCAACCGTCAGCATTCTACAATGGATACTATTGGTAGGCACATGTCAATCAGAAAATGTGGGGAGGACTGGAATTGTGCAAAGGTGGAGAATTTCCTATGCAAATATACAAGATCTGTTGGATGCAAGGATAAGAACAGTGAAAAAGGTGGTTCTTGGGTGGACATCCACCGACGTGGACAAATTGTAGTGAAGGATAGGAAGGATAGTCCAATGACCATCTTGTCATCCATGGGTGAGACAGCAACTTGCCCAGAAGGAGTGATTTTTGACAAGTGGGTGTTCAATGGCGTTGTGAAGACTGCTCCTCAGATTGCGGAGGACCTCCCCCTACTCTTCTTGCCACTACAAAAATGCCGGAGGCTTCAGATGTTCACAGACTGGTGGATAATGGTGGTTTGGATGTGCTCATTCACCAATTTGAAATGAACGGCAACTCCATTCCAGCGTTATCTCACAATCCATTCTCAGCATGGAGACATTTTCAAGATGCATAGGTTATTGTTTCTTAGATGTCCACCGCAATTACATGTACTGTTGATAACTTCTATATTAATTCCGTTCCTATCTCGATCAAATTGAACTCCACCCAACTTGTATTCTGAAACAAATGAAGGTCAGTCCAACCTTAATTACATTCTGATTACATTTTGATCTCAATCCAACTCAACTCCACCCAACTTGTATTCCAAGCAAATGAAGGTTGCTCCRATGTAAATTACATTTCAATCACCATAGAATGAAGGTCACTCCAATGTAAATTACATTTTGATCGCCATCTAATGAAGGTCACTCTGATGTCAACTCCGTTCCTATCTTAGTCGAATTGAACTCCGTCCGAAGTTAAGTACATTTTGATCTCAATCCAACTCAACTCCACCCAACTTGTATTCCAAGCAAACGAAGGTTGCTCCGATGTAAATTACATTTTGATTGCCATCAAATGAAGGTCACTCCAATGTAAATTACTTTTCGATTGCCATCGAATGAAGGTCACTCCGATGTCAACTCTGTTCCTATCTTAGTCAAATTGAACTCCGTCCAATGTTAATTACATTTTGATCTCAATCCAACTCAACTCCACCCCACTTGTATTCCAAAACAAATGAAGGTTCTTGCTCTGATGTAAATTACATTTTGATCTCGATCGAATGAAAGTCACTCTGACAYCAATTACATTTTGTTCACAATCGAACTTAACTCTACCCAACCTGTATTTCAAAACAAATGAAAATTACTCTGACCTTAATTACATTTTGATCGCCATTGAATGAAGGTCACTCCGATGTTAATTACATTTGGATATCGATCAAACTAAACTCCGCTGAACTTGTATTTGAAAACAAATGAAGGTTACTGCTACCTCAATTCCATTCCAATCTCGATAATGGAGCCCCCAGGTACAAAAGATGTTTGTCCAGCTAGTAGTTAAGGAGGACATAAAAACACAGCAAGTAGAAGACAATTAAACAAGCATGGAAGTTGCACTAATGGGTGAGTATTGGGACAATATTAGTGAAGACAAAGAGAAGGAAAGGGAGAATGAAAGAAGAAAATTGTGCAAAAGTGAAAAGATGTTCAATCAGACAGAATTGTGGGATAACACCAGCAGTGTCTTTGAAGAAGATGCTAATACTTTGTTGGGCGTGGGAGTATGATTAGTTGATTTTTTACAATAATACTAAATCAGAAACAACAAACAGACACTGGAGCTACAGTACAATAACAGAATATGCTGTATCAGGAGTTTTCTCTGGAATTTGACAGAGGTGTCTGTCATCTGAAAAGAATTGTCAGAAATGGAGCAAGAAATCATATCATGGAGCAACTATGGAAATTGACAAAAGACATGAGATTGTTCATCTGGAGAATAATTTTAGTATAACAGGAGTTCCAGTACCAGAATAATATTCATTTTGTTGGATGCTTTGTGTGTACTCATGATGTTTGTCAGTTTGTTTGGTAAACTTCTCCTTGTTGTTGCAAGGAGAAAAAGCTGATGACAAGAAAAAAGGTGACAACCCCAAAATGGGGGTCAATCTCATGCTAGGAAACTTGTGGTGCAAGAACATGTTCCAAGGAAAAGGGCCCTGAGAGTTGTGTTTGGGCCACGCAAAATGTGCACACAAATTTAGTTTTATGGTTGCAGGAAAACCATCACACCGCAACAATGGTTAGTGTGATGTGGAAGAAGAAGCTGTCAGTAGAATGACTCCCCAATGAAATATCTTGTCCTAGGGATGGCAAGTAGTATGAATCCCAAAATTGCTCTGCAACTTCCATGTTGCAACTACAAAATAAAAATTATATGCTAACTATTACTATTGATTGATACATTACTTCCTATTTGATGTGCAAAATTATGTCAAATATATTGCAAAAAGAAGAGAAGAATGGTTGAGTTTCCAATGGATTACTGTGGGTACCAGTCCACCATGAGAACTGTTCATACAAAAATATTCCAACGAATAGTGGCAAAAGAGAGTTATAGTGAAGAAAGGCAGTGCTYTTGTGTCAATTTACATTGTCCATTTACGTATATAAATTTTTTACAATTGTGTGATTACATATATTAAACATTGGTCCCCCCCCCCTCCTTCTTCCTTAGTTTTGTTGTTTGGTATGATCATACGGGCAGGCGTCACCATTTCGACAACCTACCGACGAGAAGAAGAACCTACAGGGTGTATTTCTGTCTGAAGCCAGTATATTGCTTTTTGGAGAACGTCCAGCTTTTCGCTTTGAGGGAAATTTTGATTTTTGTAAACGTAGGCTCTGATCGGCAGAATTTGTTGTGACTGCAGATACATCGTCCGGAAATCCAGGAGTACCCATGTAGGTAGTAGGCATGCAAGTAGCAGGTATGCAAGTTGCTACACACATACATGTAAAACTGCCAAATCTCGCGGCACACGAAATACAACCGTGCTTGAAGCCATTGCAGCATTGACAGTCTCTGCACTCCGCAAACCATAGCTCTGCTGACTGGAGCATCGAAGGATGCATAGTTTCGCTTTGATTGGTAACGCAAACGTTCACGTCCGTGGGAGTATCTCGTTCTTGTTCGTTGGCCACGCTACGATTTATCGGGGCGGCCATGCTCTCAACTATTTCGTCGCTGGTGTAATGAAAGGTGTCTCTTGACGTTTCGGATGTTTTTGATGTCGTTTCCGTGCTATCAGCGCCCTTGTCCATTTCGTGCATCCCCGTTTCTCTTGTCGCAGAGACTTTTGATGTTAAAGTGAATTTCATGACAGTTTATTTCTTTCGTATTCTTTTCTTGACTGACTGGAATACGAGCAACTGCAAGACTTCTATAGCTGTATGAAACGAAAACAAAAACGAGTCTCGTGAGAGTATATTTTGGGGATTGACTAGTATCTGAAGAGATAACCAGATGGTCTAAGTCTATTTTTCTTAGTTCTGAAATTCATTGCGAGSCTTTTTCTTTTGACCGCCCACTTCGATCGTCTTCGGACGGTGTCGAAATGGAGCATGTTCTGTGGTAATCGCGAGTTCCTCGACGTAGGGTTTATCAACGTCGATTCCCTTTACGTTTGCCAGTACAAGTGTTTTATGTAGGTCGGGCATCGAGCGCACAAGAGTTTGCATTTCTCTCCAGTCAATCCACTCGTCATCGCGTGTGACATGAATGCAAAAGTCTGAATGCACAAGATCTGGACGATCGGCATACAAGACAAGCTCCGCTCCGAATTGCAATCCAGAATGCACGCGATAACCCTGTTCCTCGTAATACTCCCGCACGAACTGCACTTTCTCTTCCCAGGTCAACAACATTGTATGATAATCCTTACTTTTCTCTCTCGTCTTCTTAAATTGTTTATTCCAAATTGAACGTTTATTAAGATGTGTCAGAAGAACAAGACTTCACAATCAGGTTAGAATGCGGTAAGGCTAAACCGTTCTTTTCGCATACGATTGCTGTATCAAAAAGTCAACAACCAATGTTTTACTGACCTCTGCCCTCCAGTTGATTTTCCTCTAGTTGCCCGCTCCCAGGCGACCACGCTGTTATTATCGATAAGCTTGCAGGGCAGAACTGTCACAGTTTCTTTAGCAAACGAAGGGTCAAAACAGACTGGGACGTTCCTCGTTTGTTCCAGATATTTTATGACGGATATTGTCGTTATTTCTTCAATGTACAAACTTGAGATAACGTTAAGTAGAGGAAGCTACATTTTTTGATGCCCTCATCAGATAAATGAGATGTCAGGTTCTAGCATTTATTTTTRATGGGGTGYTCCGTGATTTGAATGGAGCTTTTTCGTTCAGATTTCAAGCGTAATATTAAGTATTCTAAAATTTATGCAGAAACAGGTGATCTAGAATTCCATCTGGGGACACTTACGATTAAGGATAAMAGTACTTTAAAAATAGAACGAACAAGGAACATAATGGTGATCGAGCGCTAGAGTAACTGAACGGTCATGGGACCATTGCACGTACCGTACGGTTACGGAAGTTTGTACTGTACGGTACAGTACGATACGAAAAAATATTTCAGTGTTAACTACTTCTACTTCGTACTACCGTACGAGTACTAGAGTGCAAGATTTTCGTGCTGCAAATTTTGATTGGAGGAAAGGATGGAGAGAGCTAGAAACAGCATTCTGTACTGTATCGTACATTCTACTGCCCGAGTACGTCCGCTACTCGCAATGTAACAAGACGTAAAACTAGTTTTTACAGCAGTAAGAACATACTAGTACGGTACCAGGTACTTGGTACTGTACGGTACTACATTTTTTTAAACCTCGACGCACGTACGGTACGGTACAGTTGGAAAAAGGAGAGGGGGTTTTGCGAATTACTAGTAAATAGCTTTGCATTGTAATAATTCTGCTAATACGAGGACTCGTTATGTTGCTAGCATGGTCAAGCAGGTACGTACCGGTACAACCGGTTCTGATCACTCACCCATGTTCGGATGTCAAGGCGAAGAAAGAAAAGAAGAATAGCTAATGTTTAATGACATTATATTCATGCTAATTATGATTACTGCACTGTCTTTTGTAATAATTATGTACGTTTTTAAGAAAAGATAAGTTCGACATGCTTCTAAAGAGATACCCGCCGTTACATCGAATTATTTTTATTTAAAGTTACCCCTGGAAGTCGAGGGCATCATGTTTCCCAGGTCGCAAATCTTCGTATTTTTGAAGCAACGACCTCAGGTACTCCGGGGGAGTACTACTCGTACTCGTACTACTACTACTACTGCTAGCATTGACACCACCAGCAGTGGGCACAACATCATAATTGTTGCTGACGTTAGCATTACCACCAGCGGCAACAAACGCAGTACTACTACTACTTCTAGTACTAGTACTACTAGTAGGACCACTAGTAGTATGCCCTACACGGGTTACTACTTTCATCAGCGACAGCAAGGCACTCATCATTCGACTCCAATCCAGATGTGAATATACAGAGGTCTATGCTACTAGTAGTAATGCTACCCTCGCACCAGAATTTGACTTGAATGAACAGATTTTTCAAACCCTTCAGATTCCTTTCCTCATATACTCCTTTTCTTGGGTGAAAGGCCATCAGGATGACAACACTGACTTTGATCGCCTCCCTCTGACAGCCCAATTGAATGTTGAGGCTGATGGTTATGCCGGAGATTTTCAAGCCCAGAGGATGACCATGCCGAATTTTATTACACCAGTGCTACCTTCTTGCCCAGCTGCTCTCCAGATCCAGCAGTCTCGCTCTGTCACAAGCCAATATAAGAGAGCTCTCACAGATTCTTGTTTAATCCCCTGATATCATACATATTTGAGGGATAAGAACCAGTGGCCCTGGCGCTTCATTTGCTGATATTGCCTGGAAGTCTCTGAGCATTGCCATCCACCATATCTCCAGGGACGTCTTGGTCACTAAATGTTGCAACCATATCCTTCCCACTGCCACAGTTCTCAAACAGTGGAATTACCAACAGCAGGATACCTGTTGTCTTTGCCACTTGCCTGAAGATTCCGAACATCTCTTTTGCTGTTCCCACCCATCATGCATCAGCTGACGGAGACAGACTATCACCTCTCTATGACACCGGATGTCCACACTTGGCTTCTGACCAATTGCCATTGACGACACTCTCGCTACATGYCTTACCGAATGGTTAGACACTGGCACCGTTTCTCCAGAGAAATATCCTACATCATCCCTTCATCCAGTTATTCATTTTCAGAGTGAGATTGGTTGGCACCACATGTTTGCTGGTCACATTTCGCTCCAGTGGTTTACTGATCTTGATCTTCATTCCGGCTCTTACTCCCCGCTTGTACTAGGGGGTTATCTTGTGGAGTTCTTTCTTACCTCCTATATATCATTATGGGAACAGTGAAATAAGGATCTCCAAGGCTATACACTTTCACAGAAACAAGCAAAGTATTGACRGCGTGTGGTGATGAAAGTTATTTTCAGACCTTATTTGCATTGAAATCTCAGACCTGTCCATCCCATGCTCACCTATTTCCAGCAGATATGGAAGCATTCTTATTACAGACCCCTACCTCCATGCTCTCTTATTATCATCAAGCCTACAAGAAAACAATTCTGGCGAGTGTCTCTCAAGCTACAAGTGCTTCGGTCTCCAAGACCCGTCCTATTACCCAGTACTTTCCACCATTGCTTCATAGTAAACAACCACCGGAGAGCGTCACACAAGATGGGCTGATCTTTGACGCGTACTCCAAGAAGAAACGACACAGACCCTCTGCKTCACCAAAGCTCTCTTTGGTCTCTACCGCAACCACCCGTTCCATACAAACTAGTACTATGAACAATTATTTCCTTTAATTCCTCAGCCAAAACAAAACCCTGGTCACACTTCCACCATCAACACTCCTTGGAGGGAAGTGCCGCCCCTCGGAGCAGCTAGAAGCATACTTCCAACAAAAGTTATGGTTCTGGCCATCCTAGTGCCTCTTCTAGCTAGTTCACAATGTATTAAGATTTTTTTTACTAGTACTACTAGTAGTAGTACTAGTAGGACCACTACTACTAGTACTAGTAGGACCACTACTACTAGTACTAGTAGTAGTGCTGCTGCCACCACAAGCATAGTGGTAGTAGTAATAGTACTACTAGTAGTAGTACTAGTACTAGAACTGAGATGGTGGTGACACATTAGTACTAGTACTAGTAGTATTACTACTACTACGTCACACAAACYGATTCTTTGGTACTTTCTTGTTTTTCCTGTGTACCTAAAGTTAAATTCATGCGTGTATTTTGTACTGCTCGTATGCAGATATCTGGCTGTTTTCCTTGGAACATGTTCTCAAACCACTCATTTCTCATGTGGAGTTCAATGCCCTTTCTCATGCTTGGTCTCAATTCTTTTATTTGAAACATTTTTTCTATATTTGGAGACAAATTGTCTCAATAATTTGGCAAGTATTTCGTGATGTCACCCAAATCCTATTTTGACTTCCTTCATTCCTCTTGTCCTCAGTTTCAAATTCCTCTCCTCTGTTGCCAACTCTCTGCCGCCTAGTGACAACTTTTCTACATCTAGCGCCAAATTTATTTCACAGTTACACAATTCTATCTATTTGGAAAAGAAGAATCTCTAAAAGTTTTGTACCACTATTGCCACTATTTTTTGTATCTGTAATGTGCTGTTATTGTTACTGTAGTAGTAGATGTACTTTAGTTCAGTTTTGTGCATTTTCATACGGCTTGTATCTTTGTGCATTGTGTCTGCATGCAGTGATAGCACCGTTGATAGTCCCTCCCCACCTTGCTGCAGTGACCACCAAGCTATCTGGAACTGGGTCTGTAGGGAACATAGTTTTGAGGTTGAATGCTACTATTATGTTGGCATCTAAAACTTCTTCATCTTCCGCGGGAAACTTTGTGTAATTGAAAAATCTCTCTTTAACATACGTCACCAGATTATTCTTCATGACTGTCTCATGCTGATTTATACATTTTTGAATTTTCCCAATCACTGCGTCTTCTTGATGCCCATATACTTTGTTTGTCTCATCAACCATCGTTTGTTCTGTTATAGTACTTGGTCAAATAGYTATATCAGCTCAACTTTGAATCAAGATGGAATAATTTCAACACTTTATTGTCCAATGAGAATCTATATCTAAAGACGACACCTTCTTTGTTCATAACGGCTGACACCATTATGAAGTACTTGGTGTTTGTCAGGGATGTTTTTCACTGGTACTTCAGTTTTGTACATTTACCTCCTTCACCCAAACCCGATGGTAGGTTCAACCATAGCTTGACTGATTTCAATGTTTTTGAAATGCAAGTGAACAACTACGTCAATAAAATGGAGACAACACTGTCATTTATCACCATGATACCCTCAGAGACTTGGTTCACTCTGCATCAACAATCCCAAAAGTTTGTGAGCTTATGGACAAGAATTGCCGGAACACCATGACAAAGGAAATTGTTGGTTGTTCCGCTCCACAATTAACTTTGCTGTCCACAGAAATTGAAAGCAAGAACAAATATCACCTCCAACCCAAATGATCCTTTGTTAGACAACTCAACGGCCCATAACCCCGTTGCTGGGTGGTTGCGCAAGATGGGGCAAGACTTCCATTTGTCTTCAGACAGTATGGCGTTTTCTATTCTTTCTTGTATGCACTACCATTCTACTATCCTCAAACACAAATTTTTCTACAACAACTTTCTCTCCTCTCTTCAAGCAAGCTGCTTTGTCATTGCATCTTTGACTCACCCAGTTTCAGGGAACTACTGTGGGACTCCAGGCACTAATGAGGGTAACATTTATCTACCATTCAATCAATCTGTCCTCTTCATGCTTGCCAAATACTGAAAAAAACTTGGATTATTACACAATTCATGTGAAACTTAATGGTAAGGACACCCCATCTAAGGTTATTCTGAGCACCCTGGAAGGAACTGGATCCTTCACTATTACTTCACCCTTGACCTTTGCCAATGCTACAACGTTGCTCAACCAATGGGCAGTTGAAATGCACAAAGGTGACAGTAACCATGCAAAAGTTGCAAATCTAGGTGCAATCACATTGGCAACAAAATGGGACTTTATCTTTAAGGAAAAGCTAGATATATTTGATCATGAGGTGTTTGGTKGTGGTCCACAGAATTTCAATGACTTTATTCACAAAGTTGCGAATCTTGGTTATAGTTTCAAGGATCCAAAAGACAAATCTGGGCGCCCACACTGTTTGGTTGTCAATTGTGGTGGTGTTGCTGGTAACCAGTTCAGTTTGAGGGCATACTCTGCAGACCCCACCATCTTCACCAATCATTACACCAACACAGTAACTTGGAATCCAGCAAATAACATGATTTTCTCATCCCTCCTCTTGCAAAATATCACCAATGCATGATTTGCCTCTGCTATAGTATGTCTCAGGATCATTTATTATATAGTGTTTTATGCCACTCTGAATGGCCTTCTTGTGACATCTGCCTTGACAAACGACTTCATGCTCCACCTGTCTGAATTGTTGATGAAAATGCTGATGGATTTGGAGCAAGTTCTAAAAAAAGTTTTAAGATGAAAGTGGGCTTCCTATCTGAACGTCAGTTGAAGAAAATCATAGCCTCCTCAAAAACGGGTCACTCTTAGCTATCATGTGCAAGTAGTAGCATATCCAAATGATAGTTAAAACCCAACTGATGGTAAAATCATATTGATATGCCAGAAAAGGCCATGTTTAAGAAGTAGCTACTGCAAGTACTACTAGTACGTCAGACACGTTCACTTAATGCAATTATTACAACTCTATACATTTATTAATAGATTTGTTGTGCACAAAAAGAAGAACAAGCATTCCAATTGCCCAAATATTGAGATTATTCTGATAGTTAAGGCACCACAAACTGTACATTTAAAGTGGGATGGAGGAAGTAGTTTGAATAAGATTAACCTGAACTCTAAATTAGCACCAAAACCATTCTAAAAACCCATGATGAACACACCTGGGCCCTCCAATCGTATAGCGTTGGCCACGCAAAAAAAGCACGGTTTAAACCGTACATTAGCAATTCAAGATATACGTAAACGAATATCAGTCAATATTCGTCGTACGCCGTACTCMCCCACGCCATTARAAAGCTCTTTCAATTCTCTTTTTAACCATGTGCTTATCATACTTAAGCGTCCGTTGGGGGGAAAGTTATTGCCCAAACTGTCAGTTCGGGACTAAAACAGTTATACGGTTAAATTATACATGTGYGTGGATTAGCGGCCATCTAATTACCGTGTAATGACTCGTGGGATTAAAAATTTGAGTTRTACTAGGCCTACAGCATGCACGTGAAAACAACTCGTGGGATTAAAAATTTTGTTGGTTGAGCACGTGCGCGCAAAACTATTTTGGTGGGATTCAAAAATTTGATTACATACGAGGATTTCGTATACTGAGCACGTGGATTTCGTATGTATATAATTTTTAATCCCACGAGTCGTTACACGGTAATTAGATGGCCACGAATCCAAGGTTTAAACCGTACATTGGCTGGCCAAGCCTATACGATACCCACACGAGCATCCTCCTTTTCAAATTCCTGCCCTAGAAAATGTGGGTTATTTTTGGTGAAGAATAATCCATATTATAGAATTTTGGGTTATTTCATGGGAAAAATAATCCATGTTTCTAAAATGTGGGTTATTTTATTTGAAAAATACTAACCCACAAAAGAACCCAGGAACCCATGAAAACCCCATGAATAACCTATGAAATAACCCACAAATAACCCAAAAATTTACAGTCATCTGGGTTGATGGAGAACCAAGGATGCTACTACTAAGTATTCTAGCCAGCATTAATGTTCTTATTTAATCACTGTTTTTAATATTTAAAAATAGGCCCAGCAGGTTCGTGGGTTATTTTGTGGGTTATTTTGTGGGTTATTTCATGTGTTATTCATGGGTTAATCCAGGAGAACCCAGGAACCCACATTTTAAAACTTTTTTTGTGAAAAACAACCTACGTTTTTGGATTGTGGGTTATTTCATGGAAAAAATAAACCCATGAAATCATGCCCTGGATGTTCGATATCAAAGGGGGGATGGGACGCGCGCACCTTGGTTCTGGATGGAGGGAGGGCCGTGCCGCGCCKGGCCGAGCCCTGTGCAGCTGAGGACTCCTAATGTCAAGCGCACTAAAGTCAAGTACTTGGCAATCCCCGTACAAATACTAATAGAAATTTTTAGCTCATTTTTACAGTTAAAAAAAGGCATCCAATGGACGAAAATAAAAATATTTCCATTGTTTAATTTCTTGCTAGTCCCAAAATATTTCTATTAGTGGTCCTTAATACTTGAGATAAGCACTGATTTGATATTCTCAGTAGTAAGTACCAGGTATAGAAATATTTTCGGACTTGTACTTTTTTTTCGTGGAGGAGGGGGAGAGGAGAAATAAAGACGGGAAAATAAAAAAAATTGACACCCAGGGAATTGCCAAGTAGTACTTGACTTTATTGCGCTTGACATTCGGAGTCCTCGTGCAGCTCCACCGAAACGAAAAATAAAAAATCGTAAAAAAGTTGGAAAAATCTTAATTCTTACAGTAATAAACGTACGCAAGCAGACCACCAATAAAATATTTCTTCAGGTTGAAAATTCCCAATTTGTTACTGTATTACTCCAGGGTTTGACCTAATTGTTCTAGAAGATAAGATCTGTGGACCTCATAGAATCGACGACTACATCAAATAAGCCATTTTAAACGATTGAGAATCAATCTCTGAACGACAAGTCAATATTGCAACTCTTGTTGCGCGAGATTACCTTGCCTTATTGCAACCTTTTAAGATTGTTTTTCACGTTGAGAATAGATCGAGAGTCTGAAATCGTCGAAGATGGATTCTCGCCATGTAAAAACGATCAACACTGACTCGAGATCGAAGAAGCGCATTCGATTTGCCACCTCGAAAGAAAGATCCAAAAAGGCCTCGGCGGATGTGTACCGTTCGTACAAAAGGAGAATAGCTGGGGGTGTTACGAGTGCGGCCACACGGGAACAATTCGTACACAATCCTCGAGACCAAGTGCGCCCCAAGAAACGCCCCAAGGTTAGCAGAGCCAAGAATATCGCCGGTGGCAAACGCGATGATCGAAGCGCATTTGTCGAACTCTCCGGAGAGCAAACGGAACACAGCACGASCAACGACGGAAATGACTTGGAATTGGAAACTACGACAACTTTTGCAAGTGAGATTGATGTTGCGATCGACCGCAACGCATCCGAAATCTTCTCGGAATTTCATCGTCAAATTTGGATGTTGGTTAGGTCACTTCCGGAAGTCCTACATAATCTGGACAAGATTGTTGACCTTCTAATGTCGTACATGCTGTCACCATCTTCGTTGCCAGAAAGGCCAACTCCACTTGAGTCCTCAGAAATTCCAAACGATCGGGAGGAATTTGTCATCAATCACGCGACAACTGAYATCCTACATTTGATTTCTGTATTAGCGAGAGATCTACGGCATGAAATACATCCGTATTTACATACGAAAATAATCCCTCGTATTGTACAGGATTTACTCAATCCACCGCCTCCACCACCTGAGTCGACGAAACAACCCATCCCCTTAGACGTGACCATCGTCGAGACCGCCTTTCGTACAATATCGTACATATTCCGTTACGATTCGAATTTRATTATTGACGACATGGAATCTATGAGAAAATATTATGGAGTCACGCTTGGGCATCGTCGCGAACTGATTCGTCGTCTGTCAGCGGAGACTTTTGCTCCACAAATCAGAAAGATGAAGAGTCACAAAGCTCGCGAACGGCACATTCGTCGTGTACTTCGAGCCCTGGCGTCCACGACAGCGCAGCCAACGAGTAGAATTCTTCAACGCACTCAGACAGATGCAGTGGATGGTATTTCGAATCTTCTGTTTCAGCTTATGAAAGGAGTCCCTGGAAAACTGCATTCACAGGGGGGTCGCATTCTAAAGTTTGTTCTGGAATATTCGTGTCGAGAGAGCAGCTCAAAAGATCCTAAAGAAGATAGTACACAGGATTTAGTCTTTGAAGTTGCTTCTGATATGTTGAGGAAACTATGTTACCATTTGCATGAATCTGGATCTCCAACAATTTGCAATGAATTATTTACCTTATTCTCTATCTCTGTTGACAAGTACACTGATGAGATGACGAAAGATTCAGAAAATACAAATGTGTCCTTCCAGCCAATCACCAAGAGTCTGAAACTGGTTGTTCAAGTCGCTACTGCTCGATCTGGAAAACTTATTCAGTTACGATCAGATGATGAACTATCTGACTTCTGCTTTTCAATATCAAAAGTATGCTCCGGGGACTGCATTGCATCRCTTAAAATTGAAGATCGATCTGTTCTGTTCTCCTTGTTGAGTCAGACATGGCCACATCTGCAAGAGAGAGAATACACAAATATCGAAGAAAATATTCAAAGAGCACTCGAAGCACAATACAACGACGTCAAGTCTATCCATTCCCTGTCATTAATCTTGGCCAGAGATCTTGTACCACTTTTGAATGTTTCGAAGCAAAATGSAGTGGTATCGAAATTGATAAGTGCTGCAGCGCATATGACAAAATYAGATTCCAATTTTGCCCTAGAGGTTGTCTTTGCGRTTGCATCTTCGATCTCATCAGATGTATCCAACAGGAAAGGTTTCGAACTCTTCGGTTCAATTGTTGGAGACRGAYTGAGTACATCTAAGAGAGAAAAGAAACTTTTGCTCGATGCGTGTCTTACGAGACTTGTCACTGAGAAGGACAGTGCAGCAGCATATGCTCRCACCTGTTTGAACATACGATGCGCTCCATTTTTAGCTTCGTTAGGCGGGTGTATCGAAAAGACTACGTACAAAAAAACTGTTGAGTGGCTATTAGAATGTCTCAACACCCTAAAGRGTATTCAAACACCTGATTCGGTTGTTGTGAGGGGTCTGGCAATTGAAGCCTTCTCTTTTTTCGTTTTAAAAGAAGCCGAATCATCGATTCAGTCGTCGTTCATCGCAAAGATGGTTTCGGAATTCAAACTACACGCTGGAGAATTGCTTGTAGAATTCAAAGGATCAGTTTGGGCTACACGAGGTGCCGCTTCTTTGGTCCCCGTTCTAGAAAGATTTGATCTTGGGCCATTGATAGWTGATGCAGACGATGCTTTTGATTCTCTAATGGAAAATTTGCGAAGTTCAAATCATTTTCTCCGACTGTATTCACTCCAAATTATGGCGAGCTATCCAGAGAAAATGTTTGTAGTAGATCATGYMGACCTTGATATTTCAGATGATTTGGACGAAGAAGAAGGTTATCATCCTAGTGCAGATGAAAAGAAGAACAGAGGTGGCCCTGTGGGGCCATGTGACCTTGTGAAGGTTTTGCTCAGACTTGAATCCTCCCCAGTTAGACTGGAGGATGAACGAGTTATTGGTTCGCTAATTGGAAAGGCCGAKATCCTGGCAAGGACACGGAGACTCCCTGCCGTTTACGCCGAGATAGCTGCAAATCATATGCTAGGCCTTTTCAATATCAAGTTCGCTCCAATTTGGCGATCTGCGGAGAAAGCTCTTCTATCGCTTGCATTAGCTCATGAGGCAATTGTTTGGCCAGCTTTGGAAACAAAGCTAGTGGATGTTATGAAAGGAAACCCTATTGATAGTCCGTCTAGTACCGAATCTTGCGAACCAGATGAAGTAAATGAATTATCGTTAAGACAGGAGCACTTTGATTGGTGTCGGCAGTGGGAACAGTCGGATGGAAAAGATGTTGTTCTGTTTAAGAACTCGTTGTTGTTAACCGAAGGGGAAGTTCCATGTTATCACACGACAGATGCACTGACCGTGATGGAATCTGTTTGGAAAGTAGCTGAGCTGGGCCATAGAATCGTCGCGAAACATTCTCGCGCTATTGTTCCACTTTTCTTGAGCTTTCTAGACGACCAGTACTTCTCTTTCCATTCGAATGATCAGGACGCTCGTGAACTTCATCTAAAAGATTATGTTCATGGCATGGAGTAAGTGATCATAACTGATTATTTCGTGATCCCAACAATTCAATTCTTATCCTAACCATCTTTCAGTCTCCAAGTGACAAATATCCAGGGATTCGTTTTGCAAAAGCGCCTGAAGTGCTTTCTGCGTACATTTTCTGAAATAGAAGGCCCAAAGCAACTTGTCCATTATGGATTACTAGAAAAGATTTTCCGTTCTTTTTTAAGTCATCCCGACTCATCAATAGTGGAGGACTCACTATCATGTTTGGTCAAATTTAAATTTGATTACYTGACGCCCTACCACCAAAATCTTCGAGAGATGGTTCGAAAGGGAAAACTCCGGACCTCGCTGATTAATTTGAGTGAAGTGATCGAAAGTGGAAAAATGGTAGACAAAGATAGGAAGCTTTTGATACCAATTTTAGCTCGGATCCTATTCGGGAGAGTTACAGCAAAATCGGGCAAGTCTGGAAACGATTCACCGGCATCTCGCAGGACAGCAATTCTTTCGTTCATGTCGGTAGTATGCAAAGGGGAAGAAGATTTCTTTTCTTTCCTATATTTAATGACTCGATGTTTCATACCGAGAACTGAAAAGTTGAATCTARTGGAGCTCTATGAACAGAGTGATCGATCACACATACTTGACWCCTTGATGACAACAAGATCAGTTGATCTGGAGTTGTTGTCGAGCCCTGTTGTCGAAGGTTTCCTTCACCTTCTTCAGAGCGTTCTATCTCAATTTGGCCATCGTGTCGTTTCTTGGATCCCACAGCTTACATCAATTGTTGTTGAAGTTTGTAAGTTTGTCAGAGTGACGGACGATTCCCACGAAGCGAAAACGATAAACTCAAATTGTCTTTCCGAAAAAAAGAATTCGAACTTTGACGGCGTTCGTCGTAGTTCCGTCAGAACCCTTTCTTTTCAAAGGCTTTCTGATATTTTTGGGCTTTTTGGATCATCTGTTGATTTCGCACAAATCTCGGAACCCTTGTGGTCTGCACTACAGCCATCGTTGGTCCTCCTACCAGAGATGGTAATTCGAAATGAGGGATGCCCTGCGCTTTTGATTCTTCTACAAACGATGTCATCTGACCCAAATTTGATCAAAATCTTGTGTTCACAAGATCAAGCAGTGGATGCAGTTATTAACTGTATCGCCCCAACAAGTAGAACGGCTGTAGTAAAAGAGTCCTTGACATTCGTTGAGAATTTACTATCCGTGGAAGACGAAAATTCTATAGTGGTCGGGAAAACTATGATTTGTAAGTTTGCTCCTCGCCTCATGGAACAATTTACACTGAGATTCGAAGGAAAGCAAGATCCAGATGACGAGGACAACGCATCGTCTAGGAAATTAAATAAAACCTCACCGACTTGGAGGCGAGAGCTCGAGATTTTATTTCGGATATGTGAATTGGTATCATTTGAWGATTGGGACGTAGAAAGAGACGAAACGTCCTTCTTCGAAACTCTTTGCCATCTCCTTATACCGTTTTTGGAACCCAAGAAAGGGAMACTTCACGAAGACAAAATGAATGTGATTGGGATATTGAATGGAATTGTTACGAAGCTAGAGCCACAAATAGCTCTCGCAGTGTTCTGGAAATTATCCTCTATTCTTGCACCGAACAAATCAAATCCTGGAACTGAAATGATATCAATCAGGAGTAGTATCGGCCACTTGATGAACAAGGCTGTAGCAAAGAACCCTGACTTGAAGGCGGTGGCATCCATTGTCGTAAAGCTATCAGCTGTTCATCAAAAGCGTGTGGATGAAATTGATTTTGACACAGTCATCCCTGAACTACTTTCTTTTGCAGAAGTAGAGAAAGAAAATGGTACTTGGAAAGACTTGTGCGTTCGTTCTGACTCCAAGCCAATTTTCTTGACTCCGATCATAAACGTCTTTTTTAATTTCCTTCACAATGAGGATGGTGTAATTTCACGCGCAGCCTTYAATGGGTTGAAGGCTCTGGTCCTTACAGCTAGCTCGAATATATCTACGAAGAATGAGCACACTCATGCATGGACCAAAATGGTTGAATCAGTCGTCATTCCTCTGTCCAGATCAGGACTACAATGCAAAGATACGAAGTCTCGCAGATYCTATATTTTATTGATTCGAGAACTTGCTATAAATCTCCGTGAACTTTCGTCGCCAAATCTCTGCGGAGATTTAGCTACACTCTGCAACGTCGAAAATGAAGATTTGGATTTCTTCCTTGGTATCACCCACGTTCAAATTCACCGWCGTGCTAGAGCTTTTCAAAGGTTGAGAARAACTCTATCTGAGATGGACATTGATCGATCGAAAACCCAACTTACGTCGCAATCGCTGTCAAATGTCCTCTTGCCGATAGCTGTCCATCCAATATATGAGTGCAAAATGAGATCAGAAGAGGGTTTTGTGCTTGATTCGATTGCAACTCTTGGCGCTATAGCAAGGCATCTCCCCTGGAATAAATATAACAGCATGCTATGGCTTATTTTGAGTCAATTTGATCGGTACCCAGAGCAAGAACGATATTCGGTGGGTGCTTTATGCGCCATTATCGATGGATTCAATTTTGAATTAACTAMTCAGAGCAACGATGGATCAATGGTAAAGACTTCCGTTTGGAGGTCTCTAGAAAACCGAATAATCCCAAAAGTGGAAGGCATTTTATCAAAAGAAACAACTGGGAAGGATGGGAGTCAAGGGAAGACTATTCGACCAGCAATTATACTAGCTTTGGTGAAGTTGTTCCAAAAATTTCCCGAAGATTTTTTTGACATGAAGCTTCATAGTATTCTGGCGGTCATCTGTGATGCCCTTAGAAATAAAGACTCTACTGCTCGTGACGTTGCGAGAAACACAATGGCAAAAATAGTGTGTTCCRTTGATTTGAAGTATTTGGGTGATGTAATTCGTGAAGTCACAATCACACTGAACGAAGGATATAAGTTGCACGTCAGATCTGCAACACTTCACACAATTTTGTTGAAGTTATTGGACATATATGAACCACCGTCAAATGAAAATGCCGAAAAAGAATCTACCCCACTTGATGATTGCACCGCCGCTATCATGGATTTGATTCAGGATGATCTTTTTGGTGTTGCCAATGAAAGACGAGAATCAAGGGATACTAATGTAAGGTTTGTGAAAGAGGCCGGAGGAAACAAGAGTGTTCATTCGATTGAAATGCTTTCTCGAATGATATCATTTGCACCTTTGAAAGCAAGATCCGGAAATCAGTCGAAGTCCGCTGTGCATTGTGTTGTATCCCCTTTGCTGGAACGATTGAGGCAGCCAGATATCGATGCCAAAATGATCAGAAAAGTTAAGGAGCTGCTATCGCGCGTCGCGATTGGTTTTTCGAACAACAAAAGTTTRAAGGGATCGCAATTATTTCCTTTTGTTTACGCAACGATTCACCCCTTTATAGGCAACGGCGCTATCACAACTATTGTAGATGACGAAGACGAAAGTGACGAAGACGAYGGCAATGGATTCGGCATCAAAGTAAGCGGGCGAACAAAAGTAAAAAGTTCAAGCAACACCGAGCCGGCTTCAACCAAAGCAGCTGTAGTGGAGTGGCGACCGTCGACGATGAATGCAGCCCAATCGGGCAAGTCTGCAGTAACCATGAAAAAAACTGAATCCCATGAACTCAGAAAAGTACAGGATGGAGCCAACGCACCAAAACTTACTGGAAGCTCGCGACACGATTTACTTGACACGTTTGACATCCGTACAATAAATGAGCCCGCTACTATTACTGCCATCGTCTTCGGATTAAACCTGATGAACGCCTGTCTGAAGAAGCTTCATATTCGGGATGAGCAGTCATTGGTGATGATGGACCCTTTTGTACCTATGCTGACGGCCTGTGTTTGTCACTGCCGAGACACTGAAGTGGCGTTGGTCGCTATGAAATGTCTTTTAGTCTTACTACGATGCAATCTCCCTTCGATACCATCATGCTCAAAATCTTTAGGATCAAAGGCCTTGACATTACTGACTGCTGCAGGTGCCTCTCTCAGTACGAATCATGATCTGACTCAAGCGTGCTTCAGAACGTTGACGCACTTGATTGGGAATAGCACTAAATTACGGGAGGGCGTAGAACCAACGATTACTTCATCTTCAAAGTTCTATGATGAACATGGGATAACGGGTAGTTTCCCACTAAACGTTGAACAGATGAAAGTGCTAATATCGCTTATTCGGGGTTCAATAACAGATTCTGATCAGCACAATCCAGCTCTAAACCTCATCAAGGTTGTCTTGATACACCGGTATACATCACCTGAATTTTATGACCTTATGGAATCAATGATGAAACTTGTCGTCCGTAGTCCTAAGGGAACTCTTCGTCAGGTAAGAATTTTCGGGTGTCYCGATTTTGAGAAATTTGAAAAATTATAAATTGTGCTTACACATTCTCTCTTCTATTTCAATACAGGAATGTTCGAGGCTTTTTGTTCGGTACCTTTTAGAATACCCCATGGGGGAAGGGAAATTTGAACAGCACCTCAAACAGGTTGTTGCGAACATAAGCTACGAATACCAAGAAGGGAGAATGTCAGGAATAATGTTGCTTCATTTACTCATAGAAAAAGTACCACAAGAGCTTCTACAGAAAAATTGTCAAAACATATTCCTCCCGCTTGTCTTGCAGCTTCTAAATGATGACTCGAAGGATTGTCGACAGCAGGTGTCGAACTGCATCATCTTACTCTTCAAACGATCCTCTACCGACATCCTTCGAACATTCCAGGATTACTGTTCACGTTGGTCGAAACAGACGGGTCCACTTCGTCTTGCTTCACTTCAGGTGTTYGGCCTTTTGTTGGATTCTCGTGCGGAATTCATTAAGTCAAGTTCGCTTGAACTTCCTTGGATTCACCATCTCAAACAAACTTTGGAGGACCGCGAAGAATCGGAGTGGGAAACAACATACTTTTCGCTGGTCTGCATCGAGAAGCTTTTGAAAGACTTTGAAAATGTTTTGATTGAACAGTTAGAATTGTTGACAAGTGTTACAGAATGCCTCATAGATCCACACCCTTGGATCAAATTGTCAGCATCGAGGATTTTAAGCTATCTCCTGAAGTCGGACTCCGCCGTGAAGCTTTTCTCGCAGAAAAAAGGCATGCTGTTTGAAGTTGTTCGAAATATTGTATTTCAAATAGGTGTATCCGAACAAGAACAAAGCGAAGAGCTTTCAGACCTTGGTATCAAGTCTCTGAAAACKGTGCTTCCGTTGATGACAAAGCATCCCRAGCTTTGTTATACGGATGAAAAACTGCAAGAAGACGACCCGGAAGCAGAGAATGGGCGAGATCCAGTGTTTTGGCTTTTGCGTAGGCTGTCACAAATTGCGAAAAACAAAGGAAGCAAACGACGAATTGCTGTCTTCAAATGTTATGCAGCGTTTAGTGACAGTGACTTTGATATAGTGGCCCCTCACTTAGAACTGATGTTAGAGGGTCTGCACCGGTCGAGTACAGAGGCGAAAAATGAAATCGAAAACCAATCGTTTTCTCAAAAAGCGTTTKCTCAACAACGAAAGTCGTCGTCATTTGGACACCAGGGTGCAAGCGACGCTGATGTTCCGCTCACTGAACACAGCTTTGCCGAAGAGGTTCTGTTATTGTTAGAAGAGAAGTGTACTTCATCCACCGACTTTTTGAATGCCTATGCTGAAGTCAAACGGCGTGCTTACAGCAAGAAGCAGCGACGCAAAACGGAGCAAAAAGCAGAGGCTGTTCATGATCCTGTTGCAGCAGCTCAGCGTAAGATGAAAAAACAAGAAGGAAACAAACTACGCAAAAAACGCCGTTCGCAAGAAAAGGCAAGAGAACGGAGGGGAGGAGAGAAGAAATACCGATATAAGTAATTTCTCCAACGGCTTGCTTCCCGTATCACACATGCTACTAGTATAATAATATGAAATTGATTTAAGAAAAGTGCTCCGTAGATTGGGATTCTATCTTTAGTTGTTTGGTCGCGCCTCCACAACCACTCCTTTGAGGGGGGCGCCGCCCCTCGGAGCAGCTAGGAACATTCCTCTCCCTAGAAGTTATGGTTAAGGCGATGCATTGACTCTTCTAGTACACGAGGTTAAACGTAATATTGAGATTTTTTCTATCTTTAGTAGTTCATGGAGAGCAAAAAATTAGCTTCTGACGACGCAGGAATACAACACACGGTAACAATTATTTTTGTGTGAAGTAGTCGTCCATATCTGGGATTCCACAGCTATCCTGGAGGTAACCCGACACCATGAGTTGTCCTGTCATAGATAAGAAACATCATAAAATTAGAGTATTTGTCGGGTGTTAAAAATAGGAATGCCGGACGAGAAACGGCAAAATTGAGTGAGATACCAAAAACGAGAAAACAGGGTGGTTGCTTGATCCATCATCTACGACGGTTCTGCTTACCCCATGCTTGCGAGAGGGCCGGACCCCCGCGGTTTTGGCACAGCTTAATCTTTTTCTGAAGCTCGTTGTACCGCCGGGCACTTCTGCCGTACTCTTTGTTCTGGTTGGGTCCCGGCGGAGGAATTGGCGTCAACTCGTTCAATCCGACGGCGGAGTTGAGCAACACGAAAAACTCGTTCAGGGCCACTCTCCCTTCTTCCCAACCGGCTTTGGCACTGGCGATGGTTTTCGCGTCAACCTCCACGGGAAGATCCCGTCGGTACCCCGCCGTGGCCTTGGAGACAGTGTTCGCGGCCTTCTCGAACCGGAATTGCGCGTCTCTCATGTCTTCGGAAACTTCCGGGGGGAAACTCAGGAGCAAGATTCTCATAGGGTTGACATAGTCGCGCTCTACAAAAAAATACGAGGCACCAAAGGTTAAGACAAGTGGCGTGGATTGTTCCTAATGGAAAGAATCGGATATACATGYGCGCAGTGCACACAACCACCGCACACAACGCTTCGCCTTCTCGCCTTCTCGATTCCCTTTCATGTCGTTTTCGAAACACAGAACCTACCAATCTTGGACGGCTGTCCCTGGCCCTTGTTGTTGTTTACTCGAAAGAGCTGGCCAACTTCTCCCCACTGATCTATATCGCCCACCATGTCCTGCAACTGAAACACGTAGTAGTCGGCGGCGACCTGGAGACCAACCCGGTACTGCAGGTATGACCGGACGGCCTCGCTGGGCAGGTCGGGGAGGTTCCCGTCGGAGGCGGTCGCGATCCCGGAAGCAGCCGCCGGGGCCGATAATCCGGTGAGCAGGGCCAAGCCCGCGGTGCTCCCAACAAACCCTCTCCTCGACAAGGGTTTGATCTCGAAAGCATCCCCGCTCGTGGTTTGTTCGAGCGAGGTTGCCTTCCGCCGCGAGGACGAATTCTGGGAAAATCCCTCTGTGCTCGGCAGGTTTCCGATCAGGAKGGAGAGACCAATAGATGCGTGTAGTAGTTTCATGGTGATGGTGCTTGGAAAATCTTTCTTTCTTTTCTCTTTGACTCGAAACTGTGCTTGTTCCATTATTCCATCGGATGAATCGAAATCAGTGAACGTACGCAAGCTGATCGTGCGATACTCGTAGTCGTACTAGTAGCGGAGGTATTACAAGTACCGTACCTTTATTCATGAACGATGTACACGTAGTGAAGATTTTCTTTTTTCTTGTCATCGGCGTCGTCACTCTTGAATGAATACGGGACTATCTCGGCAACAATTTTTGGTTGTTACTCGAATTGTATCTCGACTTATTCGACTCATTCGACTCATTTCCAATAAAAAGATTTTTGAGATTTTGGTTCTGCTCGTCCGTCTGTCAACAGGCACGAAGAAAGGAATGATTTTGATGAGTTGACGATTTTTCTGAAAATGATTTTCTTTTCGATCTTTTCGAACTCAATCACTATCCAAAATCATCGATCGTCAGTGATCATCATTGATTGTTGATCATCATCGATCGCGACTGGCTCCACATCCACAACGTATTCTTATGAAATTTTATGTATCACAAATACTCGGAAAAACAAAGGAAGTTGAATAATGGGGAATGCAATTGCAGTGTGGTGGCTCTTGGTTCTAGTTGTGGTTTTGGCTGCCGCAAATATCGAGCTTGCGGAGGCGGCGAAAGCCAAGAAACCCAACAATCCCCGGGATTTGGCTTCCCGTTTCAGTGGCGGTGGGATCGACGACTACGACGAAACAACCGCCGGTGTCACTGGAATTCTCGAGGAAAACCCAGACTTTGTTCCCCTTGGAGAAGAAAGTTCAGACGAAGAACACAGTGACGATGATTACAGTGATAGCGACGACGATGCGCGATCTGACGAATCGGACGACGACGACGACGATGTGAAGGCCAGGGTGTCCAAAAAGTTAAAAAAGACTAGAATACCACGGCCCGGGAAAGTCCTGAAGCTTTTAAAAAAGAATAGGGCGAGGGTCACCATTGTACTAGCGGTGTTTGCGTTTCGAAACGAAATTTTCCGGGCGCTCAAACATCTCTCCGAGCGACACAAATCCAAGAACAAGGTGACGGATGTTTTGAAGCTGCTCTTGTTTGTGGACTTTATGAGGAGGATGCAGACCGGTGGAAAAGAATCTTCCAATCTCATGAAATTTATTGGCCATGCGAGTCCCCTCCTAGGTGCATTGCTGGAAAAGACGATGAATTACAATCCCGCCTATATTCCACCCATCGATCAGCATTTTACGTTTGAGAGGTAAGCTGGACCGAATTATTCGTTCAAGAGTCAAATACGGTGGAGTACTGGATTGGGCTGCAACATTGGAGTACTTACGAAACCATCAATTTTTAATTTGTTGCGATTTGTAGTTTGAACGAATATTATCTCAAGGACGGCATGGCGCTCCACAAAGCGCTTCACACTAGACACGACGGATTGAAATGGCCATCTTCTTCGGCCACGCCCATCTGTCCCGACTTCGCTTCGTCCAAAGGAAGCGCCGGACGCGAATCAAAGGCAGAAAATGCGACTGTTGTCGAGAACGATGATGGTCGAATGGTCGTAGTTCTAGATTGGACGAAACTTGATACGAGCATCACCTCCCTCGAACTTCTTAGGCAACAAGTTGCATTTTTACTAAGCGAATATCGCAGCCTTGCGATGCACAGAGAGGCTGCGGCGAACGCAACAACAAGGGGGAGTGAAGATAGCAAGAATGCTCTGCCCTCTGCTTCCACTCTAGAAGTGCTGGTGCTCTTGGAATCACCGGGCGGAAGTGTTTCGGAGTACGGCTTGGCGGGGCAGCACTTGTTACGGCTGCGAAACGAACCCGGGATTACGTTAACAATCTGCGTCGACAAGGTAGCTGCTTCCGGTGGCTACATGCTGTGTTGTACCGCGAGTCCGGGGCAGCTCTTTGCGGCTCCATTTGCGTTGTTGGGCAGCATCGGAGTCATCGGGACCCAAATCAATGTCAACAAACTCTTGAACGATTGGGGCATCGAGCCACTCGAGTTTCGGGGAGGAAAAGACAAGGCCCCGATAGGATTGCTCGGACCAGTTTCAAAAGACGGAAAACGCACTACTCAAGCTATGATCGATCAGACGCACAGAGCTTTTAAGCAACACGTCGTGGATGCTCGACCCGTCCTGAAAGACACAATCGATGAAATCGGAAGTGGAAACGTGTGGCTCGGTGTCGATGCCATCGATGTGAACCTAGTGGACGCCATCAAAACTTCCGATGAATATATCGAAGAGAAAATACGGAGCGGCAGCAGGGTCTTCAAGATGGTTCGGGTCTTCCGGTCGGGCTTTCTCCTGGGTCCGAGGATCGGGAGCCTTCCTACGGCGCAATGCAAGGGGGCGGTTGCAAATGCCGAGCCGTCTGTTGCGTCGCTAGAAGAAAACATCGAGAACTGGATGCGGGCATCGCGTTCATGGATGACACAGGTCCCCCTCCGCCGCATCAAGTCGGTTTTGTCGAAAACGATGCATTCCTTTCCATAGGTCTTAGAATACGACAATTTTCCATCTCTCYTCCTAGAATCGAAGCATGCGGGAACGACAAAGTACCGAAGCAACGTTTTGATCACAGTACTTGCAAGCTCTATTTGTGACGGAGCCATTGTATATATGACTTTTGTGCATAGTGTGCATTTTGATATAGCTTTAGGCTAGCTAATTGTTCATACCCGGATTCCAAACCTTGACTGCACTTGTTGGGATCACACGTGTCAATCCTATCAGTCTGAACAGGCGAATGGTTGAATAGAAGGAACAGATAACAGCATAAAAACTAGTACTCTTAAACAGAATGATTTCCTTTCAATCCTTTCACTGAAGTTTGGGGTTCAATTTATTGAWGGATATATCTAGCATTGATTGATTTCTACTTGGTCGTGCCACTTTGGAGCTGCTGCCCCTTGGACCTACTACTAGTACTAGGAGCATCCTTCTCCACAGAAATGATGGTTCTGGCCTTCTGTGCGCCTCTACTAGTAGTAGGTCACGAGGTTAAATATACTAGAGAGATGATATTGTTTCTTCCATCCAGCAGCAGCTGGACTCTAACAGTCTACTACTGCTGATGGGATATCTGAGAACAAATCAACTACTACTACTACTACTACTACTACTACTACTACTACTACTACTACTACTACTACTACTACTACTACT